TCATTTATTCAAACTCCACTGTGTATTCTTTGATAATCAGTGAAGGTGCACTGAGTAGTGCTTAGAGACCGTCACGTCGCACATCTACGGTGAAATGTAACAGGTCGGATTTGTCTCGAGTTGAAGATAAGTATTTTCCATCAAAACCTCGCACTCCATTCTTCGCTAACAATTGTACAAGATCCCAGGTCACTTTGACCAGTGCCTGGACACTATCGCATTTCACCTTGACAGGGATGTGCTCAAGCCCATTTCCGATAACCCACAAAGTGAGATTAATGCATCGAGTTTGCAATCTAATAAACTAATATTTGTCACCCATGTCAGAATGACGAGATCTTGAACATGGCTATGTCTACTACGAGGACTAGAGCACGTAAAATGCAGACATTTAATGGACTGAGTTCAGTATTGCCAACATAAGTGCACTACTTCGACATGGTGAAGCGGTGCCGAATTGTGCCCATATTCAAATGCTCTAGGTCCCCGGTCTTGGCCCTGACATAAATATGTTTGGCATCGGATTGGTCTTGAGAGGCTAGGCTGACAGGAGGTGATTACCTGCTTGACCGAGGTGTGCCCGGACATTGCTAATCAGGTTTGAAAAAAAACCACTTTGTCAGGGAAGACTCATGAATTACACCAGTTTTTAAATGACACAACAGCTGCTAGGGACTGTGCCGGCCGTTTTATTTCACTGATGGCGCTTACATGCGGTGGTCGATGTGAAACTGTACGATGCCGACTTAGTGAGTGGTTTTCTCTGTCATACACACCATATGTGAGTTGTGATGAAAATGTGTCCAAATTCATAGATTTAAAAGTAGGCAGCATCTCCCCACCGACTTTCCTCCCCACAACACCCTTCCGTGCACTCACACAACCCATGCCCACTCTACCATCCAATGACGAGCTCCGCAGTCGTATCGATGGCATCTACTTGGGCGACCCAGATGTGATTTCTCAGCTCAAATGGTCATATTCCAAAGGTGGTCGATGCCATGTGCTCACTCACAAATCGACGCCAGCTGCACACAACCCTCCCCCCGCTTTGTTGCACGGTTGTTTCAAAGTTGTCCGAAGCCCTTTTTACTTCTCTCCTGATGGTGGATTCAAAGCTAAAGCTGCGAGTGTGAACTTTGGCGGAAGAACTACAGAGGAAGAAGCCATGGGCAAGGCCAATTCCTGGGCTCGACTGGAACGTGTTGGAGATGAAGATATCCTTGGATATGAAGATTTCCCAGTGTACGTTAAGAATCTGAAGGCACTGGAAGGGCAGGTACGCGAAGGACAAACTTCGGTTTACTCCATTGTCACGGACGAGGGTACCCTTGGCACTGAAATAAAAATCATCCACCGGATGTTTGAGGTAATGTCATTTTCTTATATTTCTGCGGTCTTCAACTTGTTCACTTGAGCATCATAGTCGGCTTTGGCCAGTAAGTAGTCTGAAGTTTCGCTCCTCTGTATTCTTCCATATTTATGACACTAGGCACTTCGCATACGCCAACACCCTCCACTCTCGATGGGGGAAAGGGTATGAACTTTGCAATCCTGGCACATAATGTTTTCATATCCGGATATCTGGTTTATTTGTTACATAGGCAGCGCGTCGACTCCTGGTTCCGAACCATCAGGGAGTAAGCAACCAGTTGTGGCTGAAGATAGTGCCGACATAGTGAAGTCCGGTGCTCCACAACTGGGCCAGAAAAGTATGTACACGAATTGAAAGACTTGATATAATCTGATAAACATTCACAATATTAGGAAAAAGAGCGTGTACACCCCCGGCTCAGACAATTGGATCTACGACAGCTGGGCCATGCATTCTTGTTCCTCGCACTCCCGAGCCAACAGTGAAAAGTAAGTTTACAGTGAAACTATCTAATTCACTTTATATTAACAAAACCCTCCAGCTACCGGTGGGGTTGATCAGGAGAGTGACGACGTTGATGTCGGCAAGGATGACCCTGGTGTGTTCCTACAGTTAAGATATAAGTATCAATGGACTGACTAGCTTTCTGTATAGACGATGCATTCCTCGGGGATGAATTTGGCCTGCAACACTGGCCAGTGTCCAAGTCGAATATAGGCATTCGTGATCGCATGGTAGCAAGTGGACACTGGTATACGAATCCCCTCAAGGCCTATCGTGAGGGTATTGAGGGTGTGATCCCCCCCTCTGAATACGAGTCTGTGCTACGGGGGGCAACTGTGCAACTCTCCTTCACTCTAACATGCCACCTGATTGGAGGACGTGCCACATTTTCGGCGCAAGTTGGTGAAATTATTGTATTGAAGGAAGCTGAGATCATCACTGCTGGCCGTGCAGAGAACGGGTCACCTTCAAAGCGTGCATTCTCAGGACCATCATTCTCCCCGGCAAAGCGCCAGCGCCACCACTAGAAAAGAACGTCAACTCTCACCATGCTTTTGACTCTGCGCTACACACTCTTTCTGCTAAATGCGCACCATTTGATATTTATTGCTCCACACACAAAACATAACTCTCATTCTTAAACGTTTATTAGAAAAAATTTATCTCAATCCTCATTTTACTCAGTATCGATAGTGTCAATCAAAATAACTTATGTTGTGGAGGCAGTTTACGTTGTCAGGAAGCGGATGCAAAAAAGTCGGGTCTCAAGCAAGGTCAGGGCTGCGTAGCAGGCATTTCTAGTTACATATCGTCCTTGGCATGGTACAATAGGGAACCAGCTACACACAGTAGGAACGTACGGAGTAACGTTCCCAGCCCGAATTGATCCGCAGGCCCAGTCCATGCCTGACGTCCCAAAACAACCCGCGCTCAATTCTGCGGTTCCAGGAACAAGTGAACAAGTGCCGGATGGTTCGACGACCATTGCGTGGGGATCCCGCAACCCGAGGTGCGCACAGTAGAGAACTAATTAAATCAAACAATCAGCCAAACACCGGCAGCACAAATATCAAAATAACATTCACCAAGGTGCAACACGATTGGATGGTGTCAAAATATTCAAAAGTTTGATATCAGCTCGCGAACACCCAAACCAATACATCTGCAAGTGGTGCAGGCCGACTTGGGGCCCCCAGATTCACCGATAGTGTGTGTCTGCAAATGAAACACGATCACATATATATATGTGTGTTACGCGTAAGCATGCAGTATCATATACGGACGCGAAATTGTTGGAAGTCAAGCTCGAATCGTGTAATTACGGTTATTTACATCAGGTTAATAAACTTAGCGGTCTACTTCCATCACCTACCCTCGCTGGCGTAACCTTGTTTTTCAACAGAAATGACACTGTGCGCGTGTCTCATGCATTCAAGCATTGAAAGGGACAGTCATGAGCGAAGAGTGTAGTTTGCAGGATGGAGGGGAACAAACTGGCTCTACTGCAGACGTGAGGCATTACGGTAAACGCCGTTGGCGCCGATCTTGAAGATTATCTCCAACCCGTGTCCAACCTCTACCCTCTCTTCGAATCTACTTGAGCTTGAGCTTGCGATATCACCATCTAATCACTCAGAATATCCAGAAATGAACGCTCCTGAATACGACTACGTGTTCAAGGTCGTGTTGATTGGCGACGCGGCCGTCGGGAAGTCTTGTCTACTGCTCCGCTTTGTAGATGCCACCTATACCGAGAATTCCCCTGCTACCATTGGTGTCGACTTTAAGACTCGCATCATAAAACTGGAAGAGAAGGCCGTCAAGCTGCAGATTGTGAGTTCATCCAGCTAGTGCTGTTGCCTGATAACGAACCTGAACGTCTTTCTCCAGTGGGACACAGCAGGCCCGTTTTTATGAAATTAGGTTTCAGCGATGATAATTGTTCTGAAACGATTGTAAATAGCCCGAGAGCGCTACCGATCAATGTATCCCTCATATTGCCGCGGTGCACATGGGGTCATTCTCGTGTATGATGTGACGCGCAATGGTATGCGACGTCCATCCCTCCCTCTTGTTATACTGATTCTTCTGGGTACTATAACTGCACAGACTCGTTCACAAACCTCAGGCGGTGGCTTCAGGAACTTGACCAGTATCTGTCTGAAGGAGTGAACAAGGTCTTGGTTGGAACTAGGTCAGATTTGACGAGCAAGAAGGTTGTGGGATACACGGTCGCCAAGGTACTTGCGTATCCTCTACCCAGATATCCTGATACCTCCCCTTGTGTGCGATTCCTCCAGGAATTCGCCGATCAATTGGCTATTCCCTTCTTCGAAACTTCGGCAAAAAATGGCACTAATGTGGAACAGGTTTTCTTGACCATGGCTAAGCAGATTAAAGACCGGTAAGTCCCTTTCTGCTTATTATACCAGGGAAACGGTGCTGATCGTTCAAACTCTCAGATTAGGGCAGACCCCCACATCAGCTGGCGATAGCTCAAAAGCCAGCATGACAACTCCTGGCCAATTGGTGGCTGGGCTACGCCACTCCCTCCGCTCCTTCTTTTTTTCTCCTACTCAAGAGATGCCAGTTAGGCAACACAGCCCTGTTCCGAATGGTGACAACGAATGCGACCAGCTGTTCAAGGTCGTGTTGATTGGCGATGTGGCCGTTGGGAAGACTAGTCTACTGCTCCGCTTTGTAGATGGAACTTATACCGAGAATTTCGTCGGTACCATTGGTGCCAACTTTATGACTCGTACCATAAAACTGGAAGGGAAGACCGTCAAGCTGCAGATTGTAAGTTCATCTCCTGTGAACAGCAAATGGTGTTGGTGGCGTATCCTCAAGTGATGAGTGCCCATCCGGTACCCCTCACGTAGCAGTACTATAAGCATAAACTTTGCGTTACTCGGCTTCCCTGATATGGGACTAACTTGAACTTGCTTTCTCCAGTGGGACACAGCAGGTCGGTTATTATGAAATCAGTTGCAGCGATGATAATCATCTCGAAACGATCGTGCATAGCTTACGAGCGTTTCCGACCAGTGGCTTACTCGATTTGCCGGAGTGCAGATGGGATTATTGTCCTGTATGATGTGACGGACGATAGTATGAGGCATCCATCCCTCCTTCTCACTTGTCATACTGATTCTTAGCGGCACTGTAATTGTGTAGAGTCATTCGCAAACGTCACGCGGTGGCTACAGGAAATTCAGTCGTATGCGTCTGAAGGGGTGAACAAGCTCTTGGTTGGAACTAGGTCAGATTTGACGAGCAAGAAGGTTGTGGAATACACCGTCGCCAAGGTATTTGCGTATCCTCTACTGGGGTATCCTGATGCCTCCCTTTGTGTGCGATTTCTCCAGGAATTCGCCGACCAGTTGGCTATTCCCTTCTTTGAAACTTCCGCGAAGAGTTCAACTAATGTGGAACAAGTTTTCTTGACCATGGCTAAGCAGATTAAAGACCGGTTAGTTCCTTTCTGCTTATTATACCAGAGTAAAACTGCTGATCGCTCAAACTCTCAGGTTGGGGTCGACCTCTACATCAGCTAGCGTGGTCGCTCCTGGCCAATCAGTAGCTGAGCCGCGCCACTTACTCTCCGTCCTCCCCGCTCCGACCCTCCAGTCTGACACTCGTGCGTCACCCGCCAATCACCTGCTCGCCGACTCTACAGGCGCTACACGAGTATCCGGTCCCCCGACTCCAGAGAAGTCAGTCAAGGAGGGCCTAGTTGCCACCCCTCTAATAATTTCACCCTCAACCCCTGTCAAACGCCCAACTGAGAGTCATGTTACTCGTTCGGGTGAAGTTGAGGAGGTAGAGGTGTTGGGTGCATTTGATTGCCGTGATCTCACACAACAAATCTCTTCGATGCGCCAAGTCGACAGAGGAGGATACTCGCTCGTGTACAAAGGCACATGGGTGCCCGACCCACCGGGCACTCCCACCCAAGTCAGCATTTGTTGCGTCCCAGTTCGAAGTTAATATTGAGCGCTTCCAGGAAGTTGCTGTGAAAGTGCTCCACTTATTGTATTCACAGGATTCGAATCCTCAGGAGAAACAATGGAAGGTGCGCCTGCCCGTGTCGGGATGATGCAGTCACATTGATGTCATACTCCAGCGCCTGAAAAGAGAGATGCGTGTATGGTCGCGTCTGAGCCATGCCAACTTGGTTCCACTACTGGGCTACGTGAATGGTGTTCATGGCCCTGGTTTTGTCTCTCCTTGGTATTCAGAGAGGGACGCAATCAGCTTCCTCAAAAACCATCCCAGTGCTAACAGAAGCATGATTGTGCGTGTTATCTCTCTATTTCTTGGAGGATTGGGGAATTGACGGACATTCCCAAGTGCGCTGAAGTAGCATCAGGATTGGAATATCTCCATTCGCAACTTCCCCCAATCGTACATGGTGATATCAAGGGGGCGAGTGTTTTGCTTGCTTACAGGATGGCTGGGAATCTGAGATTGGAGTTATTCAGCAAAATATTCTGATCGCCTCCGACGGACGTGCCTGTATCTGTGATTTTGGCCTCTCGAGGATCTTGGACAATAATCCCACAGGGTTCACATTCACGACTGTTGGAATGAGCCTTCGCTTCTCAGCTCCTGAATTACTGGATCGTGAGGACAAGACAATGGAAGCTGACATTTACGCTTACGGGTGCACTTGCATTGAGGTCAGAGGCCCGGGAGCTCATTGGTTGCTAAAGTTTACGAGTTTGTGACATGCCCAGATCTTACTAGACAAAAGACCGTATGAAACCATCCGCAGCGACAAGGCCCTCTTAGCTGCAATTGTGAGCGGCACGCCGCCTATTGCTCCTGAACAGCTGGAAGGGTGTAAGTCACTCCTTCCGCTTCACATTTTAAAACAATGTTGGAATGTGGAGCCATTGGATCGACCACAAGCTAAGCAATTGACTGAAGTCTTTCGAGGTGCTATTGTGAGCCATGCGGACTAATCCTAAATACATCCCCCAGCATGTTCCTCAAGGGTCATACACCAGCAACAAGAAATCTTTCTAAATTGTACCAGAGATATGTGCATGCTAGAGTCAAACACTAACTGCGTAGTATGGTTATTCGGTTACATTGTTGTATATGAACAATAGAGGCTGAACTGCGTCAATCAAAATAGGAATTCCGGGATTTTTGGACATGACACCTGGTTGACACGCGATCGCAATTACAAGGCCCAAACAAGGATGGGCAACTGAAATCCCTCTTCTGGCCTGGATTTGGCTCACAATGCTGAGAGTAGAGTCAATCAGGAATCTATCTTTCACTTTCACTTTGCTTTTGCCTCGACGTCATCTGGGTCAACCGCGAGCTCAAAGATATCACCCGTATCAGGCTGAATAAGACTGCCTTTATCCTGATGCAAGAGTACTTGCAATCGTAGACACAGAGAGTTGTTGGGGATGCGATGTACTCAGTAATCGCAAATTTGAGTCCAACACATACTCTGGGACCGGCAACTTTTGTGACGTTGTAGAGAGTTTAGAGTGAGTCGACGCCTTATTCATCATGCGGGCCAAAGCTTAAATCCAGCAGATCGGCCGTTGCCTCTTCAGGAACAAATCGAAAGTAGAGCCAACGGACTTTACGCCCCACCAAGCTTGGGGAGCCTGGTACGGTGATCAGATTATACGGAGTTCTAACGCCCTCAGTCCAGCAGAGATGCAACTCGATTTCTACTCCAGGGCCCGCAAAGAGTCCCAATCACCGTCGACATCTGCCAAATCGTTTAGTACGCTTCATCTCTTCTCTTTAAATGAGACTTGGGTCTTAGCACCTCGATTTCCCTCGTGTCCGCCGCACACCTGGGATTTTATCAGACCTTGCGTACGCTATACATGCTTACGACTCTTCGAATACTAATCAATTGTGTGTGTTCAGTTCGTGTCTCTTATCATTTCACGGAGGTGTTTTTCGTTGCTTCTTTGATTGGGTACGTTGTTTTCTTTTCTTTGCTCGCGTCCTGTTGGATGCTTCGGCCTTCGTGCCTTCGGCTTTAATGCCTTCGGCCCTCGTGCCTTCGCGCTTACTTGCGCTTCGGCCTGTGCCTGCGTTCATGTTAGCGCTTTGCACGCATCAGCTTGTCTTTTCTGGCATCCGCCATATGCTTTATTCCGTTCGCTGTTTGTGTGCTGCCTTTCTTCTTTCTGACTCTTTGGTTTTTTGTCAATAGTTCAACTTGTTTCCGAATGTAAGTATTCGGTCTTACTGAAGGTGAAGGTGTTGTGACCTTCGGTTAGAAAGATGTACCAGGTGTTGCCGTGTGTTACATGTTCTCCGAGTAATTATAATTGCAACGATGGTCGCGCCACCGCGTTATAATAGAGATCGTTTAACTAGACTCCAAATACCAGCGGCCCCCGTCATGAGGGTAGCAGCAGCGAGCATAGGTCGCACACCAGCTGTAGTAGTGGTGAATGTGAACACCGGATCAAAGCACCAAGAAAACTCTGAAAGGCAAAACAATTACCTGTCGACTTGAAAAGCGCTCCGGTCAATGCACCGGCTGCCATTCCTCCATAAGTATCATGTTTCCCCCGATAATGATCGATAGATGAATTAATGGCATTATATATAAGAGCTGTAAAGTCGATGTTGTTTGGTTATGAGACTTTTGTGTTGTAGAAGAAAAGACTGCTAGCTAACCTAGCACACCAGCCGAGTTACCCATGAATGAACCTCTTCGAGTGATCGAGTTGAGGATGCTGTTCAACCGTAACCGTGAATTTGATACGGCGAGTTGGCGAGTGCCACCTTCGCGTAATCCCCAGAGGCCTCCTAGAGCTAATCCTAATTCCAGGAAGGAAGGATTAATGGTGTTGCAGGAGATTTCCCTGAAAATAGTAAGCACCTGATAGATATGTAGTACCAGTCCCATAACACAAATCATCGGTCCAACCACGGCTTGGCAGTGCAGTCTCAGCACCAGGAAGTTGATTCCGCTTATCATCTTCCAAAACAAGAAAATCCAAGTTGTCTCCCAAGTTTGCCATTGGGTGCAACTTGGTAGGATCAAAATTATCAGAGGTAAGCAAGTCGGAAGCGGTTAAAGGTCCGTCGGTGTTGAGGAAAGGTGGTGGTGCTGAGCGAGTAAAGGAGGCATTGCGTAAGTACGAGGCCGTGTTGTTTTCTAAAGATGTCGATTCCGATGCCGATGTCTCTGAGGGCGGCATTTTTCGATATCCAGACGATGAGGGGTAATGTGTGGCAAAATCTTCTGAACACGGAATGTCCCCGTTCCCACGGGTTCCATTCGAAGAAAATTCCCACGGACACTGACGACACGAGCGAGGACTTTGCACTGCATGATATTCACCGAGCCCTCAGGCATTCAATGGTCCCACTTGTGAGCTACCCCACCAGTACCCCGGCCTCACAGACCGATATTCCTGCTATCGTGAACTTTGCATAAACTGTAACCTTTTCACAGGGTGTTGCATATGTACAGTATATAGCGTCATATGGACGATTTGTCAGAGATGGATTCTTGCAGCTTCAAGTCTTAGTTGGACGTGGCGGAGTTTTGCACCTACCTCTTCCCGATTGTTTGGCATTCAGTGGGACTGGCTAGTCTCTGCTGAGCTGGGCAACTAATTCCGGTATGGCTGAATGTCCAGCCTGGTTGCTATATCAGTCGCAAGTTTTAATGTTCTCATTTCGCAGCTGACTTTAGGTTTCCCATTTACGATTGCCACTTTCTGGGAAACCTGGCTATGCCCTCTCGGCTCGCTGTGGCATTCACATGCCTCCCCTCATCGATCCCCGATCCCTTGAGGGTTGTCGCGCAACTTCGTATGCTGGTGCGGACCATTCAATGGAGGTACGTACTGAATTTTCGCTGTTAAGGAGGGCGCTCACGTTGTTTAGGCCAGGCTAATCAGTTCGGTTCCGTGAGCGGTCCATGAGTTAGTGGACACGGTCCGTATGGACCTGCAATGCGTATGATTGTGCGCCAGCGATGCGAGCCGTACGTCAATTAAATACATTAATAGTAAATGCAGGAGAGGGTAGCAAGTGAAAAAATGATGTAACGCAACGGAGGCGATGGGGAAGGAGGTGGGAAGCGCGGAGATTCAGTTAAGAACTATGAAAGTAAGAGTAAGCGCGCGTTTAGTGGATAGCGAGAGCAGGGATAACCGTGTGCAGGCCTGAGGAGCGGGGCCAGCACACACGGTTAGAAGCCTCATCGCACTACCGTTAACTTACCAGTTAGACGTTGTAGTACGATTGCGCAGGCAGGTGGGGAGTGGATAAGGTGCGCTATTTATCTCGCTCCCGGATGCAACTTGTCTCTTCCCGCAGCTGGTCTGAGACCAAGTTTGGGCCCGGAGGAGGGTTTCGTCCGTCTTGTTCCATCCGCACTGCGACAGTGCAGAACAAGACGGCCTCCTCTGAGGCGCGCGCGGATCCACCTGATTAGTCACGTGAAATGGGATTAAACTGAGACTAATCAGTTCGGTTCCGTGAGCGGTCCATGAGTTAGTGGACACGGTCCGTATGGACCTGCAATGCGTATGATTGTGCGCCAGCGATGCGAGCCGTAACTTGTACACGTATAATGGCTGGTGGAGGGGTGGTTGGTGGTGAGTACTTAGACTCAATGATCTGCACGCTGGCCGTCGAATGCTGATCGTCCTCCCAATGTGCCTTGGATCAGCATCGGGTTTTGGCGCAGGTAGATCAGGAAAGCTTCTGAAGACCACCTTCCAATAGCGCGTATCCGCTCCAAAGGAGTACCTGCAAGTGCTAACGCCGTTGCACCACCCGAGCGCAAGGAATGGCCTGCAACATCTCCCGTCGTGATGACTCCTTGCAGTCTGCCCAAGAACCAGGACCGGGTGGGGATCTTTCCTGAGTCTCGCAGCCATAAATCGGGGAGGTGTCGGAATCGATAGTCTCGAGCGTTCAGGTATTGTTCGAAGATTCCCAGGGGGTCTAAGTCACTGTCTCGTCTCTCTAGCACGACCGTTGAGCCTTCAAACAGCCTGTCCGCTTTGTGCATTGGTAAGATGAATGCGTAGTGAGGTCGCGGTTTGGAGTGGAATCTAACTGAAGATCTTCTTATTGATTTTCGGTAGTTGCGCAGTGCCCCCGAGTCGCTGTCCACTAGTTCGCCAAGCCGCATGAGGCAGTGCCATCCTGTGAAGGTGATTGCAAGGAAGAGCATATCGTCATGTGAAGGCTGAGGTGGGATTGATTGTAGAACGGTCCGCAAGTCACTTTCGGTTAGAGCCCTCTTCCTGACAGCTGGAGTGCGGAACATTTTGGAGCATCCAGTTAGAGTTCTCGAGACGAGTTTTGAGTTGCGAGTGTCGCGGACCTCCGGCCAGTATGCTTCAAGTTCCGAACATATACCTGAAAGATACGAAGAGACCGAGTTTGGTTGGATGTGGGCACACATGTAGACGATGTAAAAGGTGAGTGTGTCGATCGTTGGTCGTAATGGGAAATGGTGGAGGTCGCAGAAATTGATGTAAGACATTAGCGCTGACATATAGGTACGAGCAGTGCTAGGCTCAAGAGCGGCTCCCAGGGCAGCTGCTCGAGCCTCCCGGAGGCGCTCCAGGGACCAAGGCTCGCGCTGTGGTTGACGGGTCTTGGAGCGCCTCTGATCATTCATTTCTTCAATGCCCCCAGCTTCATAAGCGCCGGAGGCATGAAGTGTTTGATGACCAGCTTCGGGTACATACCTTTCACCAATTCAAAATTGCGTCGCGACAGTGCATCTGCCACAACATTCCGCTTCCCTTCCACTAGAAAGACGCGGAGGTCGATCTTGTGCTCTATCCGTGTCGAGACAGCCGTCATGAGGATTGGGTTGTACAGGTCTGTCGCGCGGAGCGAGTTGAAAATGTTCAGTGAGTTTGTCGAATCGGTGTAGATTGCGAGTCGCTTCGGTGGGGGGAATATTGTTGTAGACCATTGGAGTGCCGCGAGTATTGTGATAGCTTCATTGTAGAATATGTTGAATGCCTCGTCAGGTTGGGTTACCGGGTCGCCAATATACGCAGCTTTGTATTTCGGTGCCCAGAATGCGAGCCCAATCTTGCAGGCATCTCCCCATACAACCACATCAGCATCGCTTGGCCCCCATGATTCGGCGTTCAGCATGCGAACTCCTTCCATCCGCTCTACTGAATCAGCAAACCATAGTAGGTCATTTCGTACCTGCTTGTTTATATAGATGCTTTGATTCATCATCCGCTTCCCTGCGATTTTCTCGTATGACGAGTTCAGCGCCGGCTTGAGAAGTGGGAATACGTTGAGGACCCAGTTCGCATACCCAAGGGTCTTCAGCCAGTCCTTCAGAGGTTGCCTTCGCAGATTGTCCGGGGTGTCAAGGACGAACTTTCGTATCGCAGCGCAGAATCTTCCCTTTGCCTCTTCTGAGATGGATATCGTGAGTTGCTCTGCGTCAACGAGGAAGCCTATGATTTCAAGCTGGGTCCCAAAGAGTTGCTTGGCCGACTCGTGTGGGACTCCGATGTGGTCGAGCAATTTAAGGAATCTTGTCTGGCCTCGTGGTAACTCCCTATTGTATGGGGGATAAAGTTCAAGTTCACTGTCGAAGCTTGCATTGAATGCATCATCGACATAGTGAAGTAGACCTCGTATCCCGCAAACATGGATTCCAATCCAACATACGAGTCCGAAGAACAAGCACCACAGCCGGCCAGAGGCCCGATTCCCGAAGACTGCACATCGGTCCACATGGTACTTCCCGTTAATCAGTGTTGCCTGCCGTGCCTGCCATCGTGGGTGCATTGGTAGCCGTCGGTAAGCTTGAGATGCGTCAGATTTCCAGAGAAAAGCTGGCCTCCTTCCTCCATTCTCTTTCATGACGGCACGGATATTGGTCCCAAGGTCAGTTAGATTGTCCAGGACTACATACCCGCCTTCACTCGGGATCAGCGAATTCAGGGATTTCTCCCCTGCGCTATGGTCGTTGACAAGCCGCAGCTTCGATGAGCCTTTCTTCGGTACCGTAAAAATAGGTTGCGCCACCATCCCAGGCAGTAGCTGGTCCCCAAACGCTTCGGAGTATCGGTCCAGGCCCATCTCGGCAGCACATTGCCGTCTAAGGAATTTGACTGATTCATCGTCCAATTCAGGAGCGCCCTTCGCACGCTCTACAATTCCTACCGGTACGCTCTTCGGGTCCTCGACATCTGCAAAGGGCCAGAACCCAGTCCGCAGTCCATCACATACAGATCTGACGAGATCACGATTCGGGTGTGATTTCAGGAGGACTTCGAAACGGTCAACGTTGATAGGGGTAACGATTTTGAACAGGCTCGGGTTGTCCTTGATAGTCATAGTGATGTCTTGATATCTATAATCACTTTGAGGGACGCTCGGGACAGGTTGAGCACTCTCAGTGTACGATGCCGATGGTGTCTGACCAATATCATGCTGACCGAACACGAACCTCATGTATCTTGGTCGTTTGCTCTTCTCCTCGGCCTCATTGAGATCCTGTGGTTGTCTTCTCCTTTTGCTGTGGACACTTTGGCTCGGCATGGGCACTGGATCCACAAGATCCACACTTGTGGAGGTAGCGACATTCGGAGCGTCGACATCCATCCGTTTTGTTGAATTCTCGGCAGATCGGGTAATCATTGTTGCCACGCTTTCGTTTTTTGGTGACATTCTCCCCAGCTCCGGTCGCCTTGTCGCTCCCTGCTTCTCCAGCCGACTTTCCAGGCTTACCTTCTCCCCGGGTATCTCCGTCTCCTCCTCCGAGGTAGATGTCGTGGATGATTTCGTTGAGCGCATTAATGTCGGAGAATGCTCGGTGGGTTTCCTGGAAGAACTTCCTTGCAGCCTGGTCGTATTCGATGTTGAGGGCGACATTCCGGTTTCTGCTGAAACGCTTGACGATGTGACGGTGGTACTCATGGAGCTCCGGACCACGGTGGGGGTATGCCCATACAACCGCAGCGACATATTTGTCCCACGCCTCCGTCCATTGTGATTCGTTTGCCAGTTTGGTCTTGCTCCGGCTACTCGACCCAGTCGAGATTTGAACCCCATTCCCGAGGTCAACGGAGTCTTCATATCGGATGGCATGGGAGCGCCTATCTTCGACCAAGTGTCCGAAGTCGACGAGTCGGTCCCCAAGGATGTCCTTCCAGAGGTATGGTGGGAATTCAGGTTGACCGCCCCGACAGATGAGACTTCGGACGGCACGTTTGACGTTGGTGTTGTACGCGTTCTTGAGGAGTTGTGTCTTCTCGGCGTTGGTGAGCATGGCCTCCTCGCTGGCATCCCAAGGTGGTCCTCCGTTCCCGAATTTCCAGTTCCACGCATACTCGGCACGATGGTCACTTTCTTCGTCGGCAACTCGTTTGAAAACCTCGTTTCCACGGAGCCGTCCGGAACTGGCTTGATTGGTGGGTTGTCTGACTTGAGAGGTAGTCCGAGTCGTGACATTAGGGTTCGATTGGACAGTCCCATCCTGCTCGGCCGAGGTCTGTTGTCGGGCGATACCTCCATCGAGGTCACGGTCTCCTCGTGCTCGAGCTCGGATCCTTGCCTCTGCTGACTGTTCCAGTTCGTCGCCGTATCGGACGAGCGTTTCCCTGCGCTCTTCCTCGTTAAGGGACTGATCCGCAGCGACGGCTTCGGAGAGGGTAGCGTACGCCTCTCTAAGTGGGATCTGGTTGGCATTGTATCGCCTGACGACTTCATCGAGCTGCTCGACCGTACTCGCGGCCTCGAGCAGTGACTGGAACGCATTGTCGCGGGAGATGGATTGAGCTGCATGATGCGACATAAGATGTAAGCGTAGTTGATCGATAGATGATCGAGTTCGATTAGATAAGCGCGGAGATTCAGTTAAGAACTATGAAAGTAAGAGTAAGCGCGCGTTTAGTGGATAGCGAGAGCAGGGATAACCGTGTGCAGGCCTGAGGAGCGGGGCCAGCACACACGGTTAGAAGCCTCATCGCACTACCGTTAACTTACCAGTTAGACGTTGTAGTACGATTGCGCAGGCAGGTGGGGAGTGGATAAGGTGCGCTATTTATCTCGCTCCCGGATGCAACTTGTCTCTTCCCGCAGCTGGTCTGAGACCAAGTTTGGGCCCGGAGGAGGGTTTCGTCCGTCTTGTTCCATCCGCACTGCGACAGTGCAGAACAAGACGGCCTCCTCTGAGGCGCGCGCGGATCCACCTGATTAGTCACGTGAAATGGGATTAAACTGAGACTTATAAAGGGCCCTGACAGCGCCCCTTCCTCCTTTCCCTATCGCCCGGTATTTCGCGCTCTCCGAGATCTTGCTGCCTGTTGTCCGGGCTCACACCCTTGACCCGCTGCCGCTACTTCCGCCGGAAACTAGTAACGCGCTGCTTTGACTCACTGCTGACAATGTTTTCTTCCGCAGTTGGACCTTATAATTTCACTTGCCCCTTAGCGCTCTCTTTGCCAGTCTTTTTCTTGTCTCCCACCCCCTCCCCGACACTCCTTTCTGTAATTTTCGCCTTTTCAGATACATAGTTATCTCGTCTGTGATCTCTTGTCTGTTAACTCTGCTTCGTTTTTGCGTGCACTATAATTTCCACCTGTAACTTGCTTGCTTTAGGGTTTCAATTTGGTCTTGCCCCACCACCTTTTGTTCCCTTGCGCTTACTCTTTGTATGTATGGGTCACACCTGGCCTTATATGGCCGCTTCCAGGTAACCTTGATTAGACCTGAGTATTGAGGATTTGGTCCTTAGCCCTCTTGTAACTACCCAAGACAAGGGCTACACGAATAACAGGAATATAGGAATTTCCGAGGGCGCAGCTGCAATATCTCGTAGCGTTGTTCAAAACAATGCGAGCAGCGCTCGGATTAAACCTCACAGTCACAACTTCCGAATAGGGTTACGTAGGCAAAACAGAAAATACAGTCGGGTGACGAATGCCGCTAATAACTTGGTCTTTGTCACTCAAGCGCTGACACGCCTCCCATCAATAGTATGGTACGGCGAATTCAACCCCCCCCAGAAGAACAAGCCGTGATTTCTATGGGCAGCCACCCGACAATTCCCAAAGAAACGATTCCAGAACTCATGCTGCTCTGCCACAGCTACCAAACACCCAGGGCCAGTGGGTGGCGCGAGATTGAAAATACTTAAAGCGGATGGCTTTAGGTTCAACCACAATGGGGCGTTCACTGAAGTTATAGTAACAATCACCATTGCCATCACTTACCATTCAATAATAGGGCAATCTCCACTTATTGCGGCCCCAAGATTGACAGGGCTCAAGGATATAGCGTTACTTCAATCCCTGGCCCATTGAAGGTCAAGGGTTTCTGAAGTTCAAAGCGCTTAATCGCCATATCATTTCTTTCCGCCTTCGCCACTCCTTTTCGCATTTTCACTTAAATGTGGAGCATCCAATGATTTAGCTCATCAACAAATTGTCCATCATCTGCTTTCAGTCCCACTCCAAGCAGTCATGCGATCCGTAATGCGATCTGTAAGCCGCAGTTCCATATCGTGTTCTTACTTGTGTCTGACAAACGTTTTTAAGCATGACACTCGTCGCCGACGCGAAGCCGCCCCTTCAGCCAACCAAAATCCCCATCCTATTCACAAACTTCCCCACGATGTGCTCGCACGCGTCTTCTCCCAGGCCACAGTAGATGAGGACAATAATACCCTCCTCAGTATCTCGCACACCTGGAGATACTGGAGGTCACTAACTCTCGCGCTCCCAACTCTTTGGTGGAACTGCATCTATACTACTCTTATCCCATTTAACCGTGAAACGCCACTCTCAGAGGAGGACATGAAGGTCCAGGACAACAAACTGGACTACTTTCGAACGTGGATCGCACGTTCCAAAAACGCTGTCATCCGAATCTCTTTTCAATTAAGTAGTCCAATGACGTGGGGATTCGACCTCCACACAGTCGATCGTCGTGGCGCCGGCAAGACCGATCCAGTTCGCATTTATCCCCCCCACGTTGGATTCCTGCGCGACATCATAGCGAAGAACCTCCCCCGTGTCCGGCACCTGGATCTTTCGGAAGTCGATCTTGAACCACTTCTCCCTCTTCCTAACACGGAAAACATCCAGTATATTACAATCGACACAGATAACCCTTGTATCTGTAAGGACTCTGGTATTTACGAACCACCCAGGGTTGCAAGGACATTGTTTGGTTCGATCCCCCGGGCTCGCTGCCTCAGGATTTGCGGGGAGCCCGTGGACACCACCCAATTCATGTCCTCGTTGTCAACTGCGGTCCGTTTAACCCATCTGGAGTTCGTTCCTTACGGTCGTGGCAATATCGGATGTTTCCACCCCAATGAGGAAGAAGGCGTCGGGATCGGGCTTACCACTTCTCAGGTTCTCTGTATCCTTCGCAGCTGTCCCAATCTACAGATCCTGCGGATACATGATATTCGGGACTCTTCTCCCCCCTTGCCACATGGAGGCGTCTTTCCAAAAATGCAACACGTTTTATTCGGATGCCAGCGCTATCACTCTCTCGACCGGTTGGTGAGCCTCTGCACATTCCCAAATGCACGGTCGCTCGAGTATTGTACATCGTTTGAGCACGAACCAAGCATGGAGATGAATATTGTTCCGTACCCCTTTGAAATGAAGGCTCTTGAACACGTCACCTTCCACTGCGTTCCTTCGTCGCTAATCTGGAAAGTGATCGCAGCTGCTCCCATCCTTACAACTATCCGGCTCTTCGGTTGTGGAATGCCAGTCAACGCCACGAACGTCTCTGTATCGGATCTCTCGGTGATGCTTGGCCCTCTCATCCTGAACTTGGAGAACTGGCGTCAGGGACAGGCTGTACTGGCGCCAGGTCTCAAGGCCATAGCTTTGGCGGGCGTATACTGGGCTGAAGGGTTTGAGCTTCTGCGCCGATATCTACTCGGCCGGCGCCAGCGGGGGCTCGGGCTCCCCAGAGCTATGTTCGACGACATACTCTGTCCCGACAGGACGAGATCCTCTCGGTCGAAGTCGGATCCCCCGCCTCCGTGGAAAGCCGAGGAGAGCAGACTCAGAAAAGCTGGCTTCCCTGTGGAGGGTCTGAATGCAGAGGCGTGTGACATCGCTGACAAGGGAGTGCTATGGGACAACGTTTATGGGAACCTTACGGTTGGAGACAGTGATTCGCACCGGGCTTTGCAGCGGTGCAACCAGGACATTTATCGCCAGTTCGGGCCTGATCGTGAATGATAGACCATCGTGGTGGGCAAACATTTCTCGAAGTCTGACCCTCTAACTAACCATCGGACCATTGTTATCCCTACAGCCCTTACGCATTATTTATATGTTAGATGCACGTGTATCTCTTCTCCCCATCACTTAGATATTCATGCTCGTATACCACTGCCCCGTTATCTGGACAATTGAATGTCGATACTGGAGACCGCCATTGGCAAGTGAGATCCGGGTTTCTTCTCTCTCGCTTGTTGTGCGAATGAACCACGAGATAGATAAGCTTCTGAGGATGCGTAGACTGAGGTATTGAGGGGATCAAGTATCTGTTCAGATATCTGACGAGACTGGCTCGTCTTCCTCGTAAGAAGAGCACAAGACTGTCGGGAACTTATGTTCCTGTCAACTTCGGTGCGGATGGGAGACCCGCCTAGTCCCCGTTGCCCCGTGCCTTTTTGAGATGAGGCATCCCCAGAGTAAATCTTTCTACCGGCAAGTTGTCGTGGCGCTTCCTAATACCGCAGCAATCTGGCGCTTCAGGTCGTCGAGTCATCCCCTATCACAGGCAGTGAGAAATCAGATCCCCTTCAGATGACCGAGCCTTGGGTCCTCAGCCTGAAAGGGGCATAGCCTGCACTATCGCCAAGGCTGGCGATGGCTAGCTTACTGGGGGGGGGGTTTCGATTTTCCCGAACAACATGCGCCCTTTGACGCCATTGGAGGGAGACTCGGAATCCCGACAGCGGCGTTTGGCGACATACTTCCCTCCGAGAGGCTGACACCTCCTGGCCTAAGAAGACAGCTTTTCTGACAAGACGAGGAGAGAAGAGTTCGATGGAATGGTTTTATTGTGTGCTGAGGCGTGGGAGATCGATGGTAACCAAGCACTATGGGAGGATAAATAACCCGCGGCATGGAAACTTCGCGTTCGAAGAACGGCGATTCGCATAGAGCTGTGAACGAGGGTATCCGTAGCGACTTCGGACCTGATCGCGATAACGAGAAGTAGAACTGTTTTCCGTCCGGGACTTGCGATGCGGAGCCGCATCCTCGGGAGTCCGCGATACAACCTTTCCTTGAGCTGGACCTAACACCTAACGATTGTATCTTATTGCATGAGTGCAGGGCGTTTCGTTCGTGGTAGGCTACGGAGGGTGGGAAGGTATTGAGTGAGTGCTTAGATTTTGAACACTACTTAAATACTCATGCACCTCAGTACTCACTAGTCGACGCTAATGTAAATCTGGTAAGTTAAGTACTCAATATTCCGATGATGATGATGAACCATCGGCGCCCTCGTGATGACGTGATAGTGCCGCGTCACACCGCAGCGCACAACATTCCGATCAGTCACAATAGATTCGGCCAACTCCGCTATAATAAAGCCATCCTGATGACTGGCCAGCGTGACCCACGTCGGAATGAGTAACGAGATGGCTTTTATGTAAGTCATGCCTGAGCTGTATTGTAGCGGAGTTGGCCGAATTTATTGTGTGTTATTGTTGTCTTACCCGTTTCTGGAATTCAATGATACGGCCACCAGTGGCAGAGCACAAGGATTAGATGCTCGGACAAATGCACAAAATGCACAAAATGCACAAGCCTGTACAGATTGCTAAAGATGCCTTGATGAGGGATTGCAGAATAAATGCAGGTTCGAGGACGCGCGGCCCAGGTAGACAGAGTAAGACAGGACAATATTATTAGGTAGCGCCGAAAAAGGGGCAATTGAGGGATGCCGAGGCGGCACAAACTGGCAAGGCACGTGCGGGTAAACTGAATTCATGTTGTGATTCCTCGGCTCGCTGTTCTTAGCTCTCTGAATGGACCGCTCAGGTGATGAGACAACCATATCTCTAGGTCAAAATATCAATGCCCCGCAAGCTCATCGCCTAAACTCGTCGTTTCCTCTCTCCCTCACCGCCGACACTCCTACCAGGGCGCACATTCCACACCGATCACCTTCAGGGTAATGCCATCATCGTCACCCAAGGAGGGGAGTGCCCTCCCGCCTCAGAACTCTCCCAGCCGGGCCACCGATACCAATCCCACTTCCGTTGCTCCTAAGTCCACTGACGCAAACACATCTAGCAAGAACCTATCAGGAACTACACATAGTGGCCTTAATAAACCAGTAAATTCTGATGCAGGCGGGCACGCTGTCATTGAATACTCGACACCGCGGTTCGTCTTTATATTCGCTTCTCTCATGCTGTCTGTGTTCTTGTTTGCGGTGAGTGAAATCTCTCCGTATCCCCACGATAAGTGGTTTGTTGATAAGCGAAGGGCGACGTGCTATTGTGAACTTATTTTATTTAGCTTGACCAACTCATCATTGCCACCGCTATACCAAAAATCACGAACCAGTTCCACTCGCTCACCCAAATTTCATGGCTTGCAAATGGGTTCTTCTTAACCATGCTCTCCTTCAATCTCATCTACGCCCAATTGCTCACCATCTTCCCTTCCAAACACATGATTCTATTTGCTATCGCGGTATTTGAACTTGGTTCCCTCGTCTGCGGCGCGGCACCCAACATGGTTGTCTTGATCCTCGGACGTTCAATTGCTGGCATGGGAGGGGCAGGGGTTTTTGTCAGCTGTGTGATCGTACTGACGGAGATAACTACGCTCAAGCAGCGGGCAATGTACATGAGTCTCATCGGAATATGTTTTGCGGTCGCCTCGGTACTAGGGCCGCTTGTCGGTGGTGCCTTCTCAGATCATGTCAGTTGGAGGTGGTGTTTCTATATTAACCTCCCTATCGGAGGTATCGCGTTTTGCCTTCTTTTCATTCTCCTCGAGACTCGGCACCCATATGGCAGAGCTGAGACGTACCGAGGGTATGGCTATCACATGGTGAATCAGATTGCGCGATGCGATTGGATGGGTGTGGCGATAACGCTTTGCTGGGGAGTTGTCTTCATCCTCGGGCCGCAATGGGGAGGAGTGACTAAACCATGGAACGATGGGAATGTTATTGCGTGTTTCGTCATGAGCGTTGTACTGGTGGTAGTGTTTGTTGCCTGGGAGGCGTATATGGCGGACCATGCGATGCTGCCGTTGAAGCTTTTCAAGTATCCAACACTGAGGGGAGCATCGCTAGTCTCATTCTTCGAATGGGGTGCATTCATGATTGCCGTTTATTATCTCTCGGTCGGCTTCCAGGCCGCATATAAGTAGGTTTTGAACTCCCTCAGATTACCGGATTCACATTTCGTTAATTTTTCCCCACCCAGCGTGTCTGCCACAGCGGCTGGTATTCGCCTCCTGCCCATGATCATTGTCCAAGTCTTTACCCTTATCCTCACCGGCCGGCTCATTGCCCATTTCGGACGTCCTTACCTTATCATCCTCCTTGGACCTGTCTTTATTGCTTTAGGATGTGGGCTTCTGTATTCCGTCACACCTGCTGACCACATCTCCAAACTCATGGGATACGAAGTCTTTGTCGGTATCGGAGTAGGGATGTTCCTCCAAAACACGATCATGATCACGCAGTACGAATTCCGCGATCAGCCTCAACTGATGTCCGCTGCTACAGGAGTCGTCGTCTTTGTAGGTTTCACTGGACGACTATTTGGAATCTCTGTTGCTGGATCCGTGTTCGAGAATATGATCCAGGTCAACATTCACAAGTATGCCCCTAACCTCCCCAGACCCCTAGTTATCGCGGTGATGAACGCCGCCGATGCAGTGTGGAAGGTCGTGCCACCTCCTGATCGACCAGCGGTCTTGCACGCATACGTCGATACGCTAAATGATGTTTTCCTTATTGGCGTCCCTGCTGGGGTACTGGGATTCTTCGTAGCGCTGTTTATGCCCGTATTGAAAATGGACTTCAGTCAATATGGGGGAAATTCGAAGAATGGGGATGTAGAAAAGATTGCTGGGGCTGCTGTGCCCTCACCAAGCGAAGCTGAGGCGCGCACGTCGGGCCCTGCGACCGAGGGGGGTCATACTTCCGATAAGAAAGAACTGGAGCCTGAGGAGGACGTGAAAGTTTAGCCCCTTCAATGCTGCCTTTGGTCTCTCCCTCCGTCCGTTTCCCATCGATTATCTCTCTCAAAACAAACCTTCTTCAACCACCCACCTGCTTTCCGCAAAGCAATATGTCATCAGGAAATTTTTGCCTTGCAACATCATTGTTTTTGTTTATGATTTATCCTCACGGTTTTGACGAATCCACACCTTGCTTGTGTGCGTTATCTTGTATAATAATCATTTACCAAGTTCCAGATCAAACCCCGTCACGAGAGACTAAGCAGTAATGCGTGCATGTAGAAGTGGGATTGGCAAGTGAAAATTTTGTTAACAGTCGGCGTAGTCTCAGACTTGTTTGTGCGTCCATAACTAAGTAAGACTGGGTCTCACGCCCAGCGAGCCCAGACTTTGCTGTCTCAGTTTAGAGTTTCATAGCTAATCGATTACACGGGAGCTAACTGCGTTCTGAGAAACTTTCGGTCGAGTTTAAAAGGTTTGCATCGAGCTGAGGTCTGTTGGCCAGGGGAAGACAATTAACGTTGAAAATGAGGTGCGGAATTCAGAATTTGCGACTGATAGCACCTGACGATATTGAGAGCGCGGCCCAGCCATAACGAAACTTACACAGCTACGCCACGATGATAAGCAAGAACCAAGGCGGGGAGCCCGATTGCGACGATACACTCTGTCGGTGGAGAGCCAGGAATATACCTTGTAACCTCTCTAGGACATGATCGGTGATAGTACAGCACAGGTCTAAGAGGTTGACTAATCTGAATGGTTAGAGTGATGGAGAATTGAAGTAACGTACGTACAAATTGAACCTCAAATCTAGCCCATTTCAATCACAAATTTGCCATCGAATGGCTCTGCTTGTTCGTCGATGCGATGCTTGTATCCTCTCTGATTACTCACAACTCTGATCCCACCCCGTACAAAATCACAGGTCCAGTGTGTATGCCCAAAAGCCCAAGTCTTGATCGGTTCACCCCAGAAGCCCTCCCCAGTTAATTCCGTGGCAAAAGCACTGTTAGTCGGTCCGCCCTTGTATTTCGGATTCGCCGTCCCGTCCACGGTAGGTGCATGATGTGTAAGGATAACAATATCCTTTTCAGGAAAATCAATCTTGATTCGTTCGATTTTTGAGCGTAACCAGGAGATTTCCTCTTCGTGCAGCTTGCAAAATACCTCAGGGTTCATGCCCTTGATAGCTCTAAAATCGTTTAGACCCCATATCAGGAATTCCAAGTCCGCGGGATTGAGAGCGGACCAGAGAGTGCAGCCGAGTATGATAGTGTTGGTCTCTGGACCAGGCGAGTAAGATCGCCGGTTCATGAGGACAAATTCCCCTAAGGTAGGAGAGGACCCCGAAGCGCGTTCGGCGGTAATGGAGTCCTCAAAATCCTCGAACGCTTTGGTAACGCTATCCTAAACAGCCAGCCGCTGCAATCAGATGATCATCAGGTTCTGAAGGCAGGATAGATCTCACATAGCTGTTCCAATAAAACTCGTGGTTTCCAAGAACGTACAATACGGCTTTAAATTGATGGAGCTGTGTTCTAATGAACTCAAAGAGACGGGGGTCGTTTGCGGTTCCAATGTCACCCAGTAAGGCTAATATGGGGGCCACTGGTGTAACCTTGAAAGTCTCATACTCGATGGTGTCCTGTGACCTCTCAATTTCAAGATGGATATCACTGAGTACTTGAATGGAGCTTGGCATTGACGAGAAGGCTGGGTGTAGAGCAGTTGCGAAATGCCATGCCGTGAGAATTACAGCTTCAGATTGTCGATTTCAAAGTCTAGTCAAGGTCTCACACTGTCGTGAACTGCCTCATATTGGGTCGATCGTCTTTGGGCGCGTCTAAATACAGCTAGAAGAGACCCTACTAGATTTTCTATGATGTTGCACCTCTTCCCTACCAGCTATAGACCCCTTAACTTTTGGCTTGTACAGGTGAAGAATAGCGAAGCGACAGCCCCGATGGCAGTCGAGACTTCGGAAGCGACCTGGATACCATACACAGATATCGGAGCTAAGGGAACGGCGATGAGTAGCACGGAAGACTCGAAGCACGGACGCGTGAGCGAGAGCAGAGAAACAATCAGGACCCAAAAGCCGGCAAACTGAAAAAAGGAACAAGAGTAAACGGTAACCGAAGGTCACCTACAGCAAGACCGAATACTCACATCAATGGTCAGGATAGTCCCGAACAAGACTAGCGGAAGAGCAACAGTAAAAACAGAGAAACAATCTAACCCAAAAATACCAAGCATCAGAAATGAGAACGCGCAGCGGGCAACGAAAGTGCCGGACTCAAGGAAGACGCGGACCAGACAATCAGGTCGGCGGGTGAAAGCAGAGCCACAGGTTGGCAGAAACGCTATCGCAGTGCAGCTAGGAGCACGAACAGCCAGATCATGAGTTGCCGAATAGAAGTCATTTGAGTGATATGAAATGCGGCATGGGAACGAGGAGAGGTATACATCAGAAGGTGAGTCAACCACACTTCCACCGGGGTCATGAGAAATTCGGAGTGTTCAGATGTCTCGAGGTCTCTGCACGCAAGAATGGCAGCAGTGACATACCATCTACCCCTTCATCCACGGCGTAATCTGTAGCGAGATCAAGACATTGTTTGCTCTAAGACAATGACTCTTGAGCAGCGTGCCTTTGACGAGCATGGCGACTTCTGCCTTGGCATCTCTGAGCAAGAGCAGCAGTGGATCAACTAGGCACTGACTGTTGGCCAAAGATTCGGGCAGCTGCTCGAATGGACTCAGCCAACAAACGACGCTTATCCCAGGGGACCATAAATTCCGATGGGTCAATCGATAGTTGTTATAGCTTTAGTGGCGATAACCGCGCGCCAACCGTTGCAAAATTATAGTGCCGTGGATCAAACTGTCGAAAAGCATTTGGGAAAAATATGCGAGGAAGTGACAAGAGACCAGAATAGCGCCAGACATCCCAGCTAGAAAGCCAGGGAGTACTACGGTAGGGATGAAGGATGGATGTACCTGTTGGCAATACCTGATCACCTGACATCTGTAAGTTGTATCTAGCCCCAGACTCATCGAATGCAGCGACTTGTGAGGAGCTTCTGCTCGATGGTTAGCATCAGCCCACCTCAAGAGCTCACATTTTTCGCTGCCCGAACAACTCGTCGATTTCCCATCTGGTTTTCCCAAGCCTCACCTCTCTTTTCAGTATCAGTTGCAACACGATGTGTTTACGTAGCAGGCGAGACTGCGTGCCATTGGTAGGTAGATGTAGTCGTTCCGCTTCAGTTGACACCCCTGGCGACAGAGACACCCATGAGACAAGAACCTGTGCACAACGGTATCAGATCCTGAGGCGGCGACGCGCGTCGTTGTATCTCCACATTATGGGAGAGTTATCACTGCATACTGCGAGCAGTAACTCCCAAGTTTATGAGTGGCGAAATGGATGAGATAACCGATCTGAGAAGGAGAAAGACAGTATTGCTGTTCACGCTGAGCACTCGCCAGCGGTAATTCTCTCGGGTTACTGTGCCAGGACAAGAAACAAGGATACCGAGAACACAAAGCAAGACGAATTGGAGGAATAACGTACGAATTGGCGAGACCTCTACCAAAGAACAGAGATCATACAAAGAGCGCAGTCAATAGTCAAAATATACCGCATGGAGCCTATCAACGGACTTCGAATGGTGGGAACGAGTGAACAGGTGGACGAGGACAACGTAGCTGCGTGTCTGGTGTTCCTCATTATGTTCATGCCCTAATAGACGGATGCGGTCTGGGGGCGGTGCCTTATGATAAGCCCGCCATACAAAGGCTAAGGCAGATAAAAATGGCTGCTACAGGGGTGGAGATGGAAAGAAAACAGGGGGAATGGAATAATTGAGCAGACGCACTCTCTTCATTGGCCCCATATGAAATGAGGTAAGCACAATTGAGCTGCCTGCTTGCAAGAATGGTGGAGGCAGGCATTTAGTCAATGGGGAAAATGACGTTCAGGAATCGGTAACAGATTGTCATTCATTCTCCCATCGTCACAGGGGAGAGTGCGCAGCCGAACTTCAGCAGATCATGAAAAGCCCAAAAAGCTTTGTCTGATTGAAGGAGCTGTGCTGAGGTTAATGTGGAGTGTTTGCTTAATGGCGACTGGTGACATGCTTGCAGGTGCGGTAACCCTTCATGGAGAGGGGATCGTAAAGGATAGGATAGTTATTTTGGGCAATGTGAGCAACCAGACCGTAGCCCAGAATGGAGGACCGAGCATCTAGATACCTCACCGGGAGGATAAGGGAATGAAAACAAAGTCTTGTGGTCAGAAACAGGTGGACCCCACGGGCCGCGAATCCAAGAATATTGAAAGATAGGAGACATGGTCACAGAACTGAAAAATGTTTGGCTAGGAGGCGGTGACATTAACGGAGGATATGGAAATTGTCAGGAGAGGGCAGTCCAATTATTGGAGGCAGTGTGGAAGAATTGCGAAGAAAAAGGCGAACTCATCGCTTACGCAATGAGGCGGGAACCTAACGCAGTGAGCAGGCTGGCAAATTCTTCGATGCTCGGACGCGGAAGCCTGTCACTGGAGAAAAAGTGGGTGTGAGAGAAGCTGGAATAGCGAATGTGGCCTGTTGAGATAACGGTTAATACACTCAAACCCTCACTTGCTACTTGCACCACGAATATTCGCAAGTCGCATGTTCAACCCCCTACAAAGGGGAACGGACTGACTGTTAGGAAAGGAGAATGGATGTGAGCGAGAGGATGCACAACGCTCGATACCATCTAGTCCGCACGCCATGATGGCAGTGAAAACAATGTCGGTACCGACACAAGAAGCACTCACACACACAAGCCAGTGTCTACCCTCTACTAAAACAACACCTTGTTGGAAGCAGGGTCTCCCCATCAAGATGGACATATGTTAGCGGTGGTGAGGAAGATGAAATGGATGGGCAGAGCGACAAGCGTTACCGGTGACTTTCGGAGCTAAATATGCACCTCCGAGGCATTAATTTGACGCCTCATCACACTTCGCGGCACCACCACAAGGTCTGTACCACTTATATCGTCCGTGCACACTTCGCCATCGTCGAAGGATATTCCACGGGCCCAAGCGATAAAAGGGCCAAATGCAGTTACCGTAAAATCAAATATCACGTGTGCATTCGGTCACAACGGCGGCCCCAAAAGTACTGACGTGGCCCCCAGCGCACAACTTCCAACACTTCCATGGGCCGCCTCGATAAGGTGGTCTCCTCGGCGGCTACTGGTGGCGGCCTAAGGACTCGAAACCGCGTCACAAACAAGACCCGTCTCAAGGTTATTGACGGCGATGTTGAAGATGCCGAACTTGTCTTCATTGAGGAAGACTCGGATAAGAACAAGGTCCTGGATACGGCGGGCGTCGAACATGAGGATGCCAAGGTTCGTAGACATCAACAGCGATCGTGGACCGATCTGCTGCCAGCGCTGTCCCAAGTGGCTGACTCACCCCCTTTCCCACTCAATTTTCATTGGCTGCGCAACTATGCCCGTTACCTCCGTTATCTCCGCAATTCGCCATCACCATCACCATCACTCATCCTGTCGGCGCTTAACCCGGATAGGAAGAGCATTTGGTCAAAGGCAAGAAAAACTGGCTCATCATTAAATTCATCTGATTATTGAGAACGATGTAATCAGTCCTCGCCGCGGCTACCCAACGGATTTCAGGCCGTATCCCCAAATCAACCGAAGAGAAACCATCAACAGCACATATTCCCATACCCGATGCTACAGGTGTCGTCGACAACTATTTGGAGCACTACCCAGAAGGTGTTTGGACCGACCCAGCGGCTTATGTCAAGTCTTCGGACACGGTTGAGGAGTGTGTCGATGGTGCCATTCTCGGCGGGTCGACATACGACATGGACGAACGCGACGTTGAATGGCTGCAGAAGAACAACAGCATCGCCCTTGGCGAAGGCTCAAGTAGCGCAATTCCCTCGCCGACTCGCAATGTCAAAACCCGGGGCAAGGACATTGCTTCAGACCGACTTTCTTTTGTCATCACCGAGGACGAGATAGAACTCGTGATGGGTCTGTTCGAGAAGTTCACCGACGAGAAATGCCCTTTCCTTCACCTTGACATCAAGGGCCTCCCGCCATTGTCCGAGTACGAGCCGCTCTTCGCCACCCCCCTGTCCCCAACTCTTTTCGCCTCGTTCATAGTTCCTCCCCATGCCCGAGACCCCTCACATCTCATTCGGCTCGCTCGAACAATATACCCCCACTACAAGGAGCGGAAAATTGCTCGCCAAGGTCACAAAATAATACCCTCATTAAATGTAAGTGTTTATGTTGAGTTACATTTGACACCCGTTGAGAAAGCCCACCAGTTCGACGAATCCAATTCTGAAGATGCTTACGTGTGTTTCCGCCGACGAGATGTCAAGTCAGTTCGTAAGACCCGTCGGACGGATACGACGCCTGCCGAAAAGGTCTCACGGCTACGGCAGGAGCTTATCAAGGCGAAAGATCTCGCTAACTTAACCGTTTCGCGTGAGGTCAAGAAGTTGGAGCTCAATAAGGACGCGCGCAGCGTTCTCGAAGCGAGGATCAGGTTTATCGAGTTGAAAAGGAAGCATCCACAGTTCTCGCTGAGCACAGATGACCAACTACTCGTGGACCCCGAACGCGTGTTGGCCAAGCGGCCGAAGATGACGTTGGAGCAGAAGTAAGTCGACAAGGATGGAACTGGGGGTATTTAATTTGCTAACATGAAAAAGCGCCGTGTCGCTGAAAATACCGCGACGAAGTAAGGATCCTACAGACTTAAATTCGCCCTATCCGGCCCTTGAAGAGCAAGTGCATCCACATGAGCGTGCCGAGTTATTCGCTAAGGAGATCGAGCGCCAATGCGAGATGAGAAAGAACTCGGGCTGGGAGGATTATTTAGATGTCAGAGTCAAGATTCACGTATTAATTGTCTTCTTTCTGATCGTCTGCCTATGTTAGCTCCCGACGAGTTTACCCATCTCAGATCACTTTTTTCACGCTCTTTCCCTCGCTGTATCGCCATCAAAGTCTTCGGTAGAGCACACAGGACGTTCACCGTTCTCGATCCGAATACGTACAGGGCGAGGCGGCCGGTCATTCATCGATCGTCGCCCGTTCCACGGAAGAAGAAGAGGAGATCCTCGGAATACCCCACCCCCAGTTCCGCAACTATTTTCATCAACTCTCTCATCTGAGGGTGGACTTTGGTCCCACTCACCGAAAGAGTTGACCGTTCATATCAAGTCGGATGAGGGCGATGAAGGCTCTCATGATGAGCCAAAGGATGAGTATGTGCGGAAGATCAATGAGCAGTGGAGGTTCGACGATGATGCGGTAGTGATGGAAGAGGAGCAACGGGTATTGATTGATGACTTTGACGCTCGGTACGGTGTTTATTTGCATGCCTGGGTCTTTGGGACTCATCTGCCATGATAGGTATATTCCCTCGCGTCTTTCTCTATTTGGGGAATCGGAACTCATTGGGTTGTCGGTGGACGAAAGCCACATCCGCAACGCCGAACTGTACGCCAACGCTAAACAGGAGTCTGGTCAACGGGCACTTATGGCGGCGCGGCACCAGTATATCGCGATGAAGGAAATGACGATTAAGGAACGGATGCGTCAGCAGCTTACAACGGCTGGGGGCAACATGGCGTTACTCCTAGTCAACCCGTTCCTAATGGCAATCCTCTTTCCAGACCCACGCCGGACCAGAATGCCCAGATGCAGAATGCGGCGCTCGCCATGCAAGCATCAGGTCAGCTCCCGATGAATACCTCTGCTCTAGCTGCAGTTACACAGCAGCTACAGCAATCCGGCACGATCCCCGTGTATAACGGGCAGATGCCTCAGTCGGCAGCACATTTGAAAAAGATGGCCCAAATGCCTATGCTAGCACCGCAGCAGCGAGCCGGTTTCAACATTTCCCAAACCTCTCAAATGGCTGTCAATGGGAATTTGCCACAAATACAGCAGCAACAAATCCAGCAACCCCACCCCCAACTCCTTCAACAACCTTCACCGACAACACCAGCTTCATCGCAGCCCCAAACCCAGTCCTCTGCAGGCCCAGCGCCTCCACAACCTACTCCGTCATACAACCCCTCTCCTCATTTATCCCCAACTTCCATGCGTCCACCCACTCCCTCCGTCTCACCCACAGATCCCAACCCGGGTCTTACGCAAAACTCTCCTACACGCCCACCTTCTCAGATCACGCAGCAGTCCCCCATGGTCGTGCCTCAAATCACTGGCATGCCATTCCACAGCGCATTACCGTTCAACTATACGCCGGGCCCCAAGGTGTGCCGCAATATCCCACCCCAAATGGAACAGCCCAACCGTCTCAGCCATCTCAGATATTAGCGGGGCAACAGCAATTACCGCAGCACTACTCGCGGGAGCAACTGGCGCACCAAATAGCGCAACAGCACCAGCATGCGGCTATGAAGAATGGAATAAACACCGTGAACGGCGGGCATCCATACCTGAACGGAACATCTCAACAGCATGTACAGCAAATGCCGAATGGTGTACCTCGCAACGGCATGATGATGATGCCGCCGCCTCAAGCATATCATGGCCTCCATATGGCGAATAATGCTGCGAATGGGGCGCCGCCAGTGATGAACATGTCCGCGACAAACATGCCGTTGAAATCTGCGAGACAATGGCCGCGTCATAGCGGTGGTCAGGCGGATATAAATAGCAACGCTCCAAACGGTAATCCAACAGGTTCTCCTGTTATGCAGCATCACGTCAACTCGCCAAATCTTGGAGGACAAGGCTCGCCTGTACGTATGAACGGGGTGCTGCCTGGTGGGAGGAATTCGCCTATGAACCCTCATCCATCCCTGCAACAGTTGCCGCAACATCAACCCTCGCCGCTGATGGACGTACACCATGGGGCACCTCAAATTCCTTATCGTGCCACCGCTTCTCCTCGTTCTGCCTCGTCGGTAGCTGACATTGCAATGCTTCAACAGCATCGCCAGTCACAATCACCTCACCTCGCAATGCCGAGCCCCGCCCACCAGCATCAGATGCTTGGCAACGGTGCTGGCTGAGGCATCAATACTTCCGCCCTATACTTGACCCCATCACCCCCATTCTAATTTCTAATCAGCCAAAGTCGTCGTCATGCCCGTTCCCACCTCCCTTGCCATTCACTTTTACCCTTGGCTCGTTGTAGCGTGCACCTGCTCCGCTCTATGCCTTTTCTTAAGCTCCGCTTATGAAATCTTCTAGTGCGCAATTCCACGCTTTGCAATCCTTGCTTAGCGCCAATTTCCCTTCACGCATTACTATTCCTCATTTCCATCCCTCTTATCTGTTCTATTCCGCCCTGATGACCCCGGTATCGACGACAACATCAATTCTCCTCTTTTTCCGGCTTTTCTATTTTTTTTTTTGAATTTTCCACTGTACTTTATTCCCTTTCTCCTCTTTTGTTCTATCTTGACATTATTTTGCGGGTGCCAGCGGGCGATTGTAACGTTTCGGACAATTCTACAACTTATGTCACAGGCAACACAACCAGGCGATGAAGAAACTGTATGTGCAACCAGGTGTGCTGCAACAACAAAGAAGAAAGAAATTATTATGGTGTATAGGACTGATAAGCAGAAATACTAAGCCAGAATGCTCTGTTTTGAGCTGCTCTGCCGTTCATGAAAACACTCGCAATTTAGGAAGAAAGGAGAGAAGAAGTGTAGGTCTTCAGAGATTCAAATTGGTTATCATTACACAAACAGGCGTGATGCCCACGCTGCTAGCTCTGCGAAAGAAAATTATACATTGGGTTATCAAATAGTGCACAGAAACTCAAGTGACTTCTATCTGTGTCCGGCCCCTCATGATCGATCTAGCTGCTCGTGCTCCTTAGCTGCACTGCAGTAGCACTGCGGTAACATTTCTGCCAACCTGTGTCCGGTCGCTGCTTTCACCCACCGACCTGGTCCGCGTCCTCCTCGAATCCGAATGCCCCAACCATGCTTGTCAAAGGCATGCTGCCCAAGAATCATCGTCTTAAAGCAGACAATATCTTGTTCTCCCTTATGGATTACGCCGCGGACGAAGGAGGTAACGTCACCGCCGTACGTCATTCTTCAAGCGTGCAGAGACCTCGAGACATCTGAATTTCTCGTGGCTTTGGGGGAAGTGTGGTCGACCCACCTTCTGCATCCCAGTAATATATGACTCCTCTCGTTCCCATGCCACATTCCATATGACTTGCAGTAAAAGTGGCGGGCGAAACGAAGAGGCACACCGTCCGAGGAGCAGACGTACTGTGTGTGTGTGTGTGTGATATCATTTTAGGCTCCGTGCCTGTGCCGATCGGCGTATGACGGATGGGTAGCGATAATATACACTGACAGGCTCATTATTTCTCCCAAATCAGTTCTCCGACTGCCAACCATCGGTGTCACCCATTACTTCCTGCAGACGCCGACTAATAGACCAACAACCGGTCACGCGTCACACGAAGGTCTTGGATTGAATTAAAATCAGCACAATTGAATTGATTGGGTGTCTCCGGCAATTCCCGGATGCCGTGGGAACCGATTGTGAGTACAGTACACGCCATCCTAATTGAAAGCGCCTCGCGCGGAGATCAGAAGGCTCTTAAACTTCTGTCCGTTATGACTTTCTCTTCATGCCACTTCAGCTGTAAAGACATGCGACATGCTGGGGGCCATGGGGTTAATTCCTTCAACATTACGAAGCTCGTAGGAGGGGAATTAAATGGCCCTGCCAATGCACAGCAATGCACTGCTTCTCCAAGGTGACATTGATGTGCTTTCAGAGGTAGTTTGAACAAACGGTATGTCGCAATGAAGACCAGTCTTCATGATGTACCGGAAATCTTTCATTGTACCAGGACAAAAAATACTTACACTATCCGGACAAGATACTTCAACGGCGATGTTGTCACTTTCAGCAGCTGCCACTACAGAACTATTCAGTAGCTATTCAGCCCCTGGCCCTGAAATCCTCGCTCTGCATGCAACCTTTGCTCATGTCTTAAACGTGCAGCAGAGCATATCGAATCAGCGCTAGTATGGCGTGACATCGCTCTCGAGGATATTTAACTCGTTGTGTTTATAGATTATAGTATCGTTATTAGAATAATAATTTGCACAGTACTGCATAGTGCTATTACACCACTGAACATACATTGGATGTAAAAGAAGGGGGATTCTGCGCACCAAACTCGGTGTCTGAACATTCCAGCTGAAATTGAGTAAGGTGGTGGCAGAGCCACCGGGGCCTACAGAAGGGATGGAAAGTCGGAATGCAACGCAAGAGATGACCCCATGTGGATTCAGACACTAAATAACTTGGCTGATGTCGACGACGAGGGGGGCTTTCATCCGGCCCTGGATCAGAAATCGAGTCCCGTTCCTACTAGCCTGAGGAAGGGAGAATATGCTGCCGCCCTGAGCGCGACGAAACCTGTCATCCCTATGATCATGCTCATGCTCATGCTCATCGCTGTATATCAGTCGATCACCATACCAGGCTTCCCGTTGCGAACGAGATTCACGTTGTATCCAATCGGTTCGTACTGGAATGGGGCGAAGAGTTCGACTCTCCCATTGAACCAAATTGCTGGTAAAAGAAAACGGGTGAAAGGAATCAATGGCACTCTTCCTGCTGCAAAAGACCGGACTTCGATGGGCAAGTTACTGTCCGCCATGCTCAGCGAGAGGTCGTAAAAAGGACACGTTAGCCAGGACTCATCCGAGTCATGCATGGGCATTGACTCAGGACTTTCTACACCCTCGTCCAGGATCAAAGGAATGGTAGGTCCAAAGAACATAGTAGGTTTGGGGGTGGCATATGAGCAAGGAGGTACAACACCGGTGTTGATAATCCAATTGTTGAGATCGTGGACGCAAAATCGAGATACCAATTGACATGAGTCTGTTGACCAAACAAAAGCGTCATTTTTATCGTAAGCGCCGACATATCGACCTGTAGGAGAGAATCCAATCATGTGGCGCAAAGGAAAGGACGACCTGCAACGAGGTTGAAGAGGCTGAACAGTAGAAGGACCGGAAGGAGTGAACGGAGACGCTAGAGGCTTAATGAATGGATCGCCTGAAACACACAAGATTGTAGTGTTCTCGTACCAGCCCTTTTCTGGATTTCGCGGGACTCGTAAGACGAAAGAGCCATTGTCCGACACTGCGGTCACAGCAGGGTATGGGTCGCTGGGGAGAGGACCGAGCCTCACCAAACGCGTGCTATGGCCGAGAATCGAGATGTTTCCATCAGTGTCCTCGGTGGCAATGCAAACGGTGCGACCTTGGACGAATTCAATCCAAGCGGGAAGACTGAGAGGATCGCCTCGGAATCTAGAGACCGTGCACTGATCGTCAATGTCAGCTACCTCGATTACGCCACTTCCGAATCCGAGTGCAATGTGACGACCATCTCTCGAGAGTGCTGCACAAGTCACAGTGCCATTACGAACGTCGTTGTCAAGAAACTCGTCCCTATAATTGATCACTAATGTCTTTCTGCCCTGCTCATCAAGAGAGGTTGGTAATTCTCTCTGCCTCGCCCTCATGGCTTCTTGAGCCTGAAGTGCATCGTCACTTAGGGGGATCAAGCGACCAGCAAAGTCGCCGGAGATGCTGAAGACATGAATGGGGTCCGAGAGATGGCCATACCATTCGAAAATGAGTGACGACGATGGAATGAATGGAAGGCTAGATCTATAGAAATGCCAGGGCGTGATTTCATAAACGCACGCCGAGTCGTCGAACAATTCGTGAACTTCTCTCATGAGTTCTGTTATCCTGTGATTCTTAAAGCATAGCCCATCGATCAAAAACTCGAAATTCAATTTATTTCGCACTCACATCGCCTTGGTCCCAATCACTGCGCCGATAAAAATACGTGCGGTGCACCGTTGAGAAGAGTGAGAATAAGTTTCGTGCAAGGAATTCCTCAAACTCTCTCTGCAATTCGTTAGGGTCTTGTGAAATGAGTAGCGATCGGTCCAAGTGGTTGAACACATGTTCAAACGCGTATTTGATGTGATTGGGTCGCGCTCGGCTCAGAGAATGCTGCCACTTCTTTTCATCTCCCAAAGGAGGTTTGGTGGGGACACCAAACTCGTTCCTTTTAATGACATCATTGACAATTCGAAGGAGCCGTGGTCCAAGGAAGTGTCCTTCCGTGTCGCTAATAAAGAATACTTTGTCTTCTTCCTCACCGATGGGATCGCCCGTGATGAATTCCCGTGCCGTTCCGTGGTAAAAGTTGATGTACTTTGTGTTGCCAGAGGGAATATTGACTATTGAGCCGATGGGTTTTAGTGTCGAGTAGACTTCATCCTCAGTGATTCCTAGGAGCTGTGATATGTCATATACGCCGAGTTCCCTCCGCACCGCAATAATCATTCCGAGTACCTCATGGTAATTCTTTACTACTCGTGAGCGAATTCTCGAGCGATAAGGCATATAGGCTCGTCGCATTATCCTCTTCGTTGAGGTCCTCAGGCGCATCCATGAGATTGAGGAAGTACTCAAACTCTGACTTCAGGAGGGAACCACTTTGAGTCTGAATGCGGACCTCGCGTATGCGGATCGAGGCAATAAGGGGTAATCCACGACAAGCTGAGGTGAAGAAATTGAGATCCATGTTAGATGGTTTCCACGGCGATTCCCTGATACAGTCTTGGAGCCCCTCCTCGACCATACGGTGTATTGTGTGAAAAGTCTCATCTCTTGCTATCTTATCCACATCTTCACAAGGGATCACAGGATGTCAGTCCTGTGCTTCGGCCCGAGCCCAAGCCGAAATAACTTGCGGTTCAGGACGACAACTGACTAGTATGGCGAAGGTCGGAGGCAGCCCATCGAGCAGAAGGACAAGCTTCATCAAGGATCCAAGTGTATCTGGATCCCCGCACTCGTCTAGTCCATCTAAGACGATGATAAAGCGATCCTTCCTTGAAGATCGTATATCCGTGAGTTCACGCATCGGGTCGATAATCCAAGCATTCATCTCCTTCTCCAGAGCAGAACCCTGATAACGTTTCAACGAAGCACGCTCGCGAATTTGCCTGAGTAAGCTCTTGTACTCAGCACTGAATGCCGCAAGCTGTAGAGCGAGGGTGGAGGGAAAGCGCTCAACCGAGTCAAGTCCCATCCCCTTTTGGTTCTTATCCCAGAAGAAAGACGCTGCAAGGGCACCTTGGTTGTCAAGAGCGGAGGCTACGCTCATAGATATCGCAGTTTTCCCGGTCCCAGGTGAACCACGCAACCAGACAAACCTGTTCCTAGGTTCCCTGAGGTGACTGAGTATCGCACTCTGAATCCCATCCCGTGTGGTTTTGAGACATTCTGACTTGCTTTTCACGCGGTTATATTCAGCGTCGGCTCTAGGAAGTTTCGAGAGTTCGTCTAAAGACCGAACTGAGCAAAAGAGTCTGGAACCAAGCAGATAGAACGAACAATCCACTGACGCTCGAATTGTATTGAGGAGGTTCAAAGTCGTTGCCACCGTCTACAGCGGACATTTTAGTCGAAATGCAACGATATGAATACGGGCTCAACAGACCGCGAAGTGCGAGAGAGCACGAGTTATGCAAGCCTTCACATCGGTTAGTTTCCGAGCCGTGTTGGTCCGTAAAATCACTCTCTGAATGACCTTTTGGTTGCCAAGCATTTGAATCTGCTCGATCTGCTCCTCCAGGTCCCTGTCCTCAAGATTTCAGGCTAAACGAGCGACTGGGGAGGCACAGTGACGCACGAGTGAAATTCTTTGACTAGTGAGACTACTTCAGGAGGAATTTCGCCAGTTTGGCATGTCCACATTTGAAGGGGTTGCAAAATAGTTTCGTAGGCTCTTTGAATCTCATCGTGCAATCCTTTGAGATTCTTGTCATTGTCATCGACAGTCTGCGGAAACATGAATACTGTATATTGTGATTAATGAGCGATATCCTCACCTCGTAAACTTGCAGCCATATCAAAATCAGGTTTGGGATTTCACCGAGTTTTGGAATCGGAGAAAGGTTGAGAGCGGAGGCCGCGGTTTGGAGGATTAGTCTTGTGGCACCGATGATCATTTTATGCTGATCACTGCGTGAGCTGGCCGGTGGCGTGCTTGGAAACCCCGATGGGGGATGCGTGTGGATGCCCGGGTCACCCTCACAAGTGATATACGCGCTGTGCTTTCCAGGAAGATTCCCTTCAGGGGCACAAGGAGACGGAAACCCTTGGTTATCAGCGGATGGCTGATAGGGTGTAGTTGTCCCAAAGAACGATCCGGGTCCGGAAGTGCTAGGCTTGCTGCGATCAAGAACTGTGTTTTTGCAAATCTTTCCAAATGTGAGGCCGAAAGGAGATGTCGATTTCTTTGAACTACCAAAGCCACAAGGTACAGTCTCATTGGCCGCCGGAGGCCCGGGATATGATCCCGTCAATCCTCCATTTCGATCATTACAAACATTGTCTCTGTCCTGGGATGTCTGGGGGATGTACTCCGAGATGGAAGAGAGGGACGGCTGCCGATCACTAGAAAATGATCCAGGAGCAGGGTGGCTCTTAGGACGTCGAGAGGGGATCTGAGGGCTTTTGTTTCCAAACATCGCACCGGGGTGGGAGTTAACGAGCGCGTCAAGGAGAGAACAGTGCACAACTCGCCGCGCGCACATGACTTATATGGGAACGCCTTTTTTGCAATTGGATGCCCGGAGAGGTCGCGTTGACAGAGCCCTTGTGCGGGCAGGTTGCTAGTAAAACAGAAGCTACGATGCACACGGCCACGGCCTTTGGAAAATCCTTGTCACTGTATCTGCGTGACATCGATTCGAGCCTACAGTGTGATCAAGTTGGCCGAATGGATTCTCATTGCCGAGGACACATTGGAATTCCACTCATCGGCCGTCATTCCCCATCACTTCTTCGCATAGCTTCAGCATGCGTTGGATCATGTTTAGCTTTCACCATCTCGTTCCTGACCCAGCCCATCACGATGATCATGAGTACCAGATAACAGCATGCCACCTGCATCTGAGATGCCTGCCTTGCCATGGCTATCATGATCAGTTCCCGACCATAAACCCTCATTAGGACTTTATGGGTGATATAATTGAAACGACATGCAATACCAGGCGAACGTGAAACGAACATGCCGGAATACAATTTCCCTTCAAAAAATCTCCCTTTCTATTTGAAATGCTTCGTTGGAAGGCATGTCTGAAAACACATTTACTTTATCCTTGAATGCTGACACAAGTTTGACAGTCATTACTGCTATCCCTTCGAATGTTGACACGGTGGCGTAGGGATTGGCACTCCTCACTGCCCTTGGTGTAACTTGGATGTTGACACAACAGTAAAGGATTGACAGTCAATACTGCCGCTGGCCCTGAGCACCTCAAAGCTGAGGATGGCACCCCACTGAGCGAATATACGAGAGGCTATCGGCCGGTTGAAGCATCAAGGACTCCGTACCTAAGCCATTGCTTCTCTTATGGTAAGATCAGTCAGGGCCATCCTCAGTAACAGATAGACTCATGGGAGGCTACAAGAACACGACTTATGGTCAACAAAAGAGTGCAAGGAAACTTTTCAGTTGCCGAAAACTTACCACCAGAAAAGTCGCTGAAGGGCCGTATATCAACTTACTATATGTAGAAGTCGGCAAAGACCGGAGACTCTCAGAAACTGAATAGCAACTGATGGTGGCATCATGTTATTTTTATCTTCGAACGTGGGAGAGCGACGACGATGATAACAAGAAGGCACAACAAATACTACATGAAAAAGGCAGTGGAAATAGAGGAAGAATACGTTAGATGGACCTTGTTTTCCTTTGAGAATTTGAGAGGTTGAGCAATAAAAAAAAGAAGAGAAAAAAGGGTGTTTGAGACGACCTGCAAGGGGATTATGAGAAAAAAAATCGAAATCCCCTCAGTTCGATCTCTACATCAGCCACTCACGAAAAGAGAGCCAAGTGAGAGACCTCATGAAACAAACGCTACCATGCTAGATGGGGGGAAAGAGAGGGACGTGAAAAAAAAGACCGCAATATGAACAATAAAAAAAAACATGAGAACATCGATATGAACAATCGAAAAAAAAAAACATCGGAACATCGGATATGTATATGTAATAGAAACGGAACAAATCAAGAGTTGCGCAAAGGAAAAATGAAGTAGCGCTTGAAGAGGGTGGAAAATTAAAACAAAACCAACCATGAGCCGTACACAGAATATACACGTTCGTCCTTACTGTATGTGGCCTTTCGCCCTATTCACCATCCGCCCCTGCGGCTCAACGGGCATAACCCCCTCCATCGTTCCCATACTCATCTAAATGCCCACTATACGCATCCTCAGGATCGAAGTCATCGGCGTAACTCCCACTATACTGACTAAGCGTGTACGTGCTCCTAGCAGCCATACTCTTCCTGAATGGATTATTATCCAATTGATTGGGCGTGAGAGCGGGTGAAGGAACGGCAAGCGATGAAATAGCTGGAGATATCGAGTTTGTCAACGTCATCGGAGCAGAAGTGGGAGGTGGGGAAGAAATCATGGGCGATTCGGAAGGAGCGTACAGGATACGCATGCCGGTATTGGCCTTGTTTCCACCTGTGATAGTTTGGGCTCCTGCACCTAGAGTTGAACTTGGTTGCACATTAGCAGCTCGACCGGCGGCGTAAGCACGAAGAAGATCATCAGGCGACAAAGCGGGATTCATGGGTGCGCTCGTCGCGGCGAGATGAGAGGGAGGAATGGGGCTCGTAGGTTGAAGCGTAGGCGATGGCACCGCAAGGGCACCTGGACTGGCATTCCGGAGGATAGGCGCAGGTAAAATGAGTTCATTGCTTGGTCCGGCATTGTGCCTGCCAGTACGCATGAGGCTCACGGCTGGCATCTGGAGCATTTCACGACGAAGATCCTCATCCCCAACAGATGCACGGGCTTCGATTTCCGCATTACTAAAAACAGTAGGGCCTTGGGATTGTCTTGGACTAAGTTGCAAATCGGCGTCTTCCTCGTCAGAGTCGAAGTTCTGGGCTTGGTGGAAGGAGCGTGTTTGATACGGTCTATTACTACCAGTTCCGCCGGTACGACGGGTATGAGTTGTTTCGATAGAAGGGCGAGCATCGGCAGCAAAGGAAATGGTACGTGAAGTGCGTTCGGCCTGACCAACGGACGAGAGACGGGATGCACGCAATTGGTTCAACTGAGGCACCTCCTGTTCGGCAGTCTCCAAATTATCGAAGTGGGCACCAACACCGGCTTGTCCACTGCTTACTGAGGACATGAAGGATGCGGGACGACCGTAAGCAGAAGAATCGACCATGGAAGCACGAATGGCTGCATTGGCACCAGCACCAGAGATGGAACGCCAGTCGGTAGAGATCGTAGACATGCGTTGATCTATAGCTTGACTGAACCTCTTTGACTTTTCGGCGCGTTTCTTCCTCTGGTGCCTGACGTAGAGGAGGATGGCTATCGTAGCGGCGAGTAGAGGAAGGATGACCGCGGCAGCGACACTCCCGCCAGGCAACTTGGCGAAAATATTCTTCACTTCTTGAATGATGCCCCCGGAGCCGGAGGCGTTCCCTGACTTGGGATGGGCATTAGGGTCCGAGGAATTGTATGTCGCAGTCCAGATGGGACCTGTAGCGATGGAAGTCATGAAGCCGGGAGTACCGTGGGGAACGATAGCGAGCTGCAGGCTAACACTGCTAGCATTCCCCCACCAGGAAGGATTAAGGGTCATCTGCAGTAGCAAAAAAAATCAACTCTCTCATGGACGAAGAGATATGATTGGGAAACGTACTTCCATCGAGCCATGAGCATAATCAGCCCCATTAAAGGCTTGGATAAGCGAATCGTTAAGTCCAGGAGCGTAGAGATAAAGATCAACAAGCTTTGGAGAAGGACTCAAGCACGAATTGTCCCAAGCGACATTAACAGGACTGGAAGTCGACACCGTTTGATTGGTAGTAGGATTTTTATAAAAACCACCACCGGCACAATTGGAGCGTTTATCCAGATGACCGGTTTCTGCTTTGCGAGCGTGTCCACCTCCAACTTTATGAACAGGGTGTCCGAATCTTGCGTTAGAGATGGGGTTGAAAACCATGGTTACGAGGGCGGAAAAGAGGGTGAAAAAAAGAGGGGCAAAGCCCAAAAGTAAGGGAGAGGAGGTGTTAGGGAAAGCAAAGCTAGCAAGAAAGGAATGAAGACGTGTTGTCTTTGAGCTCGCAAGCGTAGGAGATGGAAGAGAGTGTGAGCAAATGGACGAGCTTGTGAGAGAAGTTGGATCAATGACTTACCCAAAATGGAAAACCAGTTTCAAACTCCGCTTTAATTACCCCTTTCGTTGTTGTCCTTCAAGCCAAGCACGTTGGCAAACAGTTTAGAGATAGTAGCGTCGTTTAGCATAAGGGGTTTCAACGGTGTGGCAAAATCCTTGCCGAGAAAACAAAACCCTGTCACATCTTCAACGTTGATGCAACGTTGCAATATAGGGTCTCACAGGGACAGCAACCCGGACAGGGGATGACATTGGGAGGGAAACTAGCGCGCGCGACAAGCAACACTGTAGTACTATGAGACATGCCATGTCAATGAATTTTGAGATGAATGACAACGGCAGAGCAACCAGACAGGAGACAGTCGAAAAACGCATCGATGCATCTGTCTTTCCAGAAAGAAAAGACAATGGCAACGTGCGTGGAGGACGAGCAGAAACAGAACCTTGAAATCGTAGCAAAAAGAGTGATGATTACCATCCACCGTTGCCACCACCTGATCCTCCCCAACCTCCACCACCACTTCCACCGCCATATCCCCCTCCATATCCTCCTCCTCCTCCCCCACGATATCCTCCTCCTCCGCCTCCACGGTATCCTCCGCCCCCTCCGCCTCCGTACCCCCGCCTCCCGAGCTTTTAGGCTGAGCCTTGCTCACTCTGGATTGGAAGTCAACCGTTGATCGCGCGTCAGGTTCAAGTAGAGTTCACGTACCTGATTCTTCTCCCATCAAGGTCCTGATCGTTCCACGCTGCGATGGCGGCTTCCGCCTCGGCATCGGAGGAAAGCGTAACAAAACCGAAGCCTTGATGTGTAGTCCGATCAGTCCGTCAATCGTCATATGGAAGAATAGAGCCCCGAAGAACAGGTCAACTTACCTCGAGATCTTCCAGAGTCCTGATGTGTTTTTATCGTCAAAGGTGACGAATCGGGCGTGCAGGGTAACATGAATTCATCTTAACATGACAGCAAGGCGCCGCCAATGGCCTTGCAAAGGGGCACCTCATCCGATCAGGGAACACTCACTCGATCCACCATCACGATCGAGTCGACGACAGTGCCATAGTCTCCGAAAGCCTGGACAAGGATCGGTGTTGTGAAGGGGCATGGGAATATGCCAAAGGGAACACTCACCCTGCGAAGGGATTCATCGTCCGTGTGGTACGATAAGTTCCCTGTGTGAGACAAACGATGAGGACCGTTGGAAGCGGCGAAGGAAGAGACGGGTTGAAGAACGGGGGACGCACCGATATAAAGCTTGACCTCTGACATCGTGTCTGGGTTAAGCTGTTCGTTCGTTCAAAAAAACCAAATTTCCACCCGTCTCGCGAAAAAAAGATGAAGGTAGTGGTGAAGAAAGGAAAAGGAAAACTTCGAGAGGGCACTTCTTTTAAGCAAGAAAAACACGTGTTCATTTGGGGCTAATCCAATTAATAATTTTGTCCCTGCCGCGGCAGTTCCCGCTGCTAGGGGATTGTCCATGGTGAGGCATAGCGCGACAGAGGAAGGACTTGGCAGCAGCGAGAGAGAGAGAGACACTGACTGACTCAGATGCTCGCATTTTGGCTCGTAAAGTGATGAACGTTTACAGGAAGAATCAGTAATGTTGCAACACAGATCGATCACACGGGGATAATAACCCGGACCAGAATCACAGCATGATATGGATTGATGAAAGGAAAGGAAAGAAGTGTGCTACGAGCAAGAAACAGCACTACGGTACTACAAGGACATACCATGTCGAGATGAATAGCAACAGCGAAGCGAAGCAACCAAACAGAGAAGATGGACAAGCATCAGAGAGAAAAGACAAATGCGACGCGCGGCGGAGAGTGAGCAACAACAATGCAATCCCTCCTTCATCGTGAAATCGTAGCAGAAAGGATGGTTGGTTTTTCAATACGGTCCACTGGATCCTCCTCAATATCCTCCTTGGTATCCTCCTCCTCCACTGTACCCCCCACCGTATCCTCCCCCTCCGCCTCCGAACCCTCCGCCTGAGCTTTTGGGCTGAGACTTGTTCACTCTATATCGGAGGAAACCATCGATCGAGCGTGTTCGGGTTAATGTTCAATAAAGTTCACATACTTGATTGTTCTGCCATCAAGCTCCTGTCCGTTCAACGCGTTTATAGCCGCATCCGCCTCTTCATCGGAAGAAAGGGTAACAAATGCGTATCCTTGATGTGTAAAGGGAATGTGAATATAATGTAGGATGGCCAATGCAACAATTCACCCGATCGATGGAACAGACCGTCAATAATTCACGAATTGTATGGTGAAACAGAGCCCCAAAAACGGATCTGCTTACCTCGAGATCTCCCAGTGTCCTGATAGTTTTTATATCCGAGTTAACAAGTCGGGCGTACGGGATGGTATGAATTCATTTTAAACAACATGACGACAAGGCGCCACCAATGGCAGGCACCTCGTTTGATCAGGGAGCACTCACTCGATCCTTCATAACGAGCGCGTCGAGGACATTTCCATACTCAGCGAAAATCTGGATGAAGATAAGGAGATGAGGATCGGTGGTGGGGATTGAGGGCACGCCAAAGGGAGCTGTACTTACTGCGCGAAGCGTTTCATCGGTCGTGTTCCATGATATGTTCCCTATGTGAGGCAAAGACGGGGATCGTTGGAAACGGCGATGGTAGAGATTGGATCAAGATCGGGAGGACACACCGACGTAAACCTTGGAAGACATCGTGAAGTTGGGATTGAGCTCGTTCGTTCGTTCAAAAAATGTCAAACTTTCACCCCGTCTCACGAAAAAGATGAAGGTAGAAGCAAGAGGGGGGGGATTTTCGCAAAGACACTTCTTTTTAAGCAACAAAAACACGTGTTTATTTGGGGGCAACTCGTCGAGATACTTTTGGGAAACTGGTCGTTCACGGCAGATTCAGGATTGCAAGAAATCTTGGAACTAAGATGATTGGGGAAATAATCAGCCCTGGTTCCGGGTACATGGTTCTCCAGGATGCTTCCAATCGTCAGGAGAGGGTGAAAGCACATAAGGCCAGAGCTTCCGAATATGGCGATATGATATCGTCCAACACAAGTTTGGGTCGTACTATTGGATGTGCTTCTTCATGGCTGCACAATTAAAACCCTCATAAGCTAGCTCTCCGATAAGCAACAAAACTCCATGTGCACGGACGGCACGCTGCGGACCTCGTGCATGGTACTCAATCCCTCGAGATAACGTACACGGCAAATACAGGTTAATTTCGAAAGTAGGCTTCCCGAATATCCCCGGCAGCAGAATTCCGATGCATTGGACCACATACAGGGTCAGCCAGCACCAGCAATCCACGATTTCACCGCATGGTGTCCTGACAATGTCAGTCTGTTACATAATTCCATTAGCCAGTCGAACAAACAGAATGATTGTAATATAATGGAGGCCTACATATTCCTAGCGGTGGGACCCTGGAGATCAAAGCACGAGCCTCCTGCTGAACGTGTCAATATCATGTACACGAAGCTGCATGCAAAACTTGGCACGCACAGGCTGGGTAATTAGTTACGAGGCGAGGCGATGTCGAGACTAAAGGAGACAGGATAAATGAAAAAATCTACCGGAAAAGCACTATAGAGGAAGGGTCCCTGGAACAATTGAGGCAGATGTAGGATCTTTGCCTTTATACTTCACGTCCTCCTTGTGCCTAAGCAAATACTGCCCAGGTACCACATAGTTTCAAGATGGGATCGTAAATGACTTCTTGCAGTTGTGGCTGATATCCGTGCTGCCATGTCCAATTCGTATTAGACGCTTTCACCTGGTCAACAGAACCGTTTATCAAGTCTCGTTTAGATAGCTGCTAAGCCCCTTTCGGGATGATAACGGTGGTGTGTAAAGACAGGGGAAGCGTCTAATCAGGACATAGAGCAGAGGGGAACCCACAGAGATAGTCAGCTAACTAGCAGCATAAATGGGGTAACGTCATCCTCGTGAAAATCTTCAGGTTTCGCCGGGGCTGAGCGAAACATTCATTATTCTACTTGGAGTGGCTGATCATGATCACGAGTCCAATACGACGATCGCCATCGATATCACAACTTGCGCGCTGCGCTTACTGCAGGAAAGTTGGAGGGACAGCGTAGGGAATGGGAAAACAAACCTGCAATGAAACGCTGCCAATCGGTCGGAAACCTGGCAATTCACCCACGAGCAACTGACAGTTGAAGGGCGATGGGGCCCTCCGCAGCCTACATTAGAGCCAGGAGTGCTATAGAGTGCGGGCGACAGAGCCCAAAGACACCTTCCGTCACAACGAAAAGATCAAGTTTGCAGTGCTTACTGTACTCCACCGACCAACAACCGGTCACGCGTCACGCAGGCCTGCCGGTCCGGCCCAAAACACAGCCACGTCACGCGTCACGCTGGGCAGGCGGTCAAGCAATCCATGTCACGCAGTTGGGCTGCCTTCTCGGTGGCTATGCAAATTGATTTCAAATTTCCTTTTTTGTAAATTAAATACATTCAAAAGTGAAAAATCTTCATTTCTTCATCCAAATTGCGTGCCCGTCTAGCTCGCATCCCCCGGCCAAGATCCCGGCTCTGAAGGCTAGAGGAAGGCGGAGCCTCATCAAGAGTATCAGGCTCGGCTTCCTCAGCACAGGTTGGTAGTGCGTGCAAGCTGCCATTCACCACCTCAAGCCCATCAGGTACCCCATTCCCTGCCATATAGTCGAAAACTTCATCCACTGTCACATCAGGCCCGTCCTCTGCAGAATTTGTAAATTCCATCTCGGGAATGGTGGAATTAGAGCCGTGAGTGTTGCTATCATGAGGCTGCTTTCGTGGGGCTGTTATAGCATTTGCGAGGTTGGGATTCTCCCAGTGGAGATTATCAAGGAGTTGGCATAGTTTACGGCTGGTTAAACTGGTGTGGGATAGATTATATTCGCCCGACTGACAAAGTTCAAATGCCTAGATCGAGGTAGTTAGTACTGTGTACACGGAAATGGGGGATTGTTCCCATCAACTCACTTTCTCAATTCTATCCTTCCGATTCATACATTGGAAAGCATAGATCAATGTCTCAGGGACACGGTCCCTTAGTACGCCAAGCTTGGTGTTGAGTTTGATATCGCATGAGCCAACCCCCTGCTGTAACTGTGAGTACACCTCCTCTATAGCAGCGGACTGCTGCGCTCGCTTCACAGCATGCTTCAGAGGACGTTGTACACCAACATCACAAGGCTGCCAAAGACCCGTGCAACCACCTGGAATATAGTCCAGTATTATCCAGGGATGGTTCTCGTGCATCCAGATGCGGAACTCCAGAGACGCGTGTACTGGCCACACATCAAGTTGCCAGATGCACTCCTGATGTGGATCAAGACCTAGCCGTTGTTTTTGAGTTTGGAAATATGGAACTAGAATAGATTTTACAAATGTTTTCATTGTCTCGATGTTAGCCCAGTAAGTATCACCGCCGGAGATGTCAAAAATAAAGCCAAGTTCCATGGCTTCATCATAGCACAGTGCGTTTTTTGAGGGGAGACTGACTGAAGTTTTGCCTCGGAAAATCGCCTGGAATGGTAAAAGGGTTCCACTCGCAGAGATGGCCACATTGAGAGTGAAGGCACGCTTCTCATCATGACCAACTGTGGAAACCTGACGAGACCCCTTTGTTTCATATGTAGAAGTTGAGTTCTGCTGGTAGATTACTTGTGTCTGGTCTGAGTTCACCCGGAGCTCACAAGGGATCATATAGTGGCGGACGGAGTAAGCTTGGCGGAGTAATGAGGCATGGATTTTCTCTGTGGCATCAGAGGGAATCTTCTGCGATGCACGTGTCGCTTGACGCAGGCTCCAATTCATCTCTTGTTCAAGAAACTTCCTAACCCACGCCATGCTCACAGCAAAAATGCACCCATCCTTCTTCACAACAGTTCTTAGGATCTCGGGCTGAGTATATTGGATTTGTGCGATGATGACACCGCGGATTTGCTGAGCGTCCAGCGCAGCACCGGCCTGTCGAATGCTTTGCAATGTTCGCTTGATTGCTGCAACCGTTTCAGGATATGATGCCTAAGATGGCTCAGATAAGTTCACAAAGTTCTACTAGCAGTTCACAACTTACTAATATCCCCTTCCGTGTAATATTGCCACCTGGGCAGTTCTCTTTTTCAACCTTTGCCAGTGTTTCAGCGGACCAGCACGGACGCGATCCAGTGCGGTCAATCCATTTTCCAACAACATCGGCACGCAGTGATTGAAAAAGCCTTATGCTTCTTGTTTGACATCCCCTTGCTATCTCAGTTGGACTCATCTGCCAGCCAATATTTTCTGTGACTTCCGTTATTATCGTCCAGAAGATCGGCTGGAACCAGTTTGTTGCCTTAGCCAATTCGCGCACCCTTTGTGCAGGAGGCCCAACCACATTTGTAGAATTATGGATGGTTTTCCGGTGCCTGTGCTCCTGCAGCCATTCCTGAATTCGGCGCTTGGGCCGTGACATCTCAGCAACGGGAATTGAGATCGCATTCTGGTTGTCAGGTGCGCACTAAACAATTTCTCCTTGTTAGAAACAGTGGTGATCTCAGCGGACTGACATTCTTCACCTTCTCCCTACTTGCCACCACCTCTGCTTTGCTCGCCGCCACCTCCACTTTGCTCGCCGCCACCTCCACTTTGCTTGCCACCACCTTTGCTCGGTGTCGCTGCTGTCGTTCGCGAGCCAATGTCCGACTCCTCTCCTCCCTCTTTTCCACCGCGCGTGACCTTTGCACCCGTGCTTCTTCAGATCTTTCAGCAATTCTCTCGAGTTCAATCAATGATTGCCCCTCATATTCCTCACGGCTTGCATGGCTGAAGAACCGCAGCAGTCCATGCCCCTCATCCCCCTCCTGAAAGGTGAGGTCCAGCTTCCGTTTTCCAATTGGTTTCTTGGCATCGGGGTTGGGCAAAATGGTCGTTGGGGCCAGGGCGCCTGTCTGCGCAGTAGGTTCTACTGCCATTGGCTCCATTTTTGGTACTGACATCGCGATCACCTTGATTGGCACTGTTGCTACTTGGGTAAACATTGTTGATGGGCTGGCCTTTGCTACAGGGATTGTTGCCACTGGTGGCGCCGTCACTCTGACTGGCATTGTTGTTGCTCCAATGGCTGCCACTGGGGTTGCTACCACTGGGGCAGCTGTTGTTATTGGTGTGATTGCTTCAGGGCCGGGTGTTCCCTGGTTATAAGGTGGTGAGTCTCAATTTTGTCAACGTTGCACTCAATTCACTTACATGTGCAGCATGATGATCAAGGATTGACACAAGAAGCTTGATGCGTATCATCACCATATCATCGCTGGTGCCGAGGGAGTATTGGGATGGAATGAAATGGTGCATCAGTGCATTGAGTGCAAAGATGCCGCACGAGGAGTGTTGGAGGAGCAAGTCATAACGGGTGTTGTGCACTTTCCATACTTGTCTCGATGTGTATTTACATGTATTTACACCGACAAATATATCTTCAGAGTCTACTGCCATCCCAACCGAGCCGCCGCACTGAGTGGTGCAACTTTAGGTTATGAGCCCAGAGCGGCTCACCTGGGTTGGTTCAAGTATAAGTCCACATGACTCTCGTGGCACCCTGGCCAGGTTCAAGCGGCTTATGAGGAAGACTTCAAGTTTGTCTGCGATAAGTCCTTGAAAAGGCACGCATCTTTGGAAAACCCGAGGCTGAGATACAATCTTGGAAAGCCCTATTTGAGGCTGATTGCAAGCCCCTTGGATGAAGCCCTCACATTGGGAATGCGGCACAGACTACTCCTTTATATTTTCCGTCGTGCCACGTCATAAAATTCCCACGGTCTTTGCGCTGCGAACTATAACCCTCTGAAGCATAGAATGCTCTCAGGAGGGACTTGGAGATCTCTTGGGCTGATCTACTGGATCTTTTCTTTGGGTCCTACATGAATGAGAGGAGGACTACTTGGATTCGACTTGAACATGCGCGCGCGCGTGTGCGACACTTTGTTCCACATCCACCTCCTGTTTCCATCCCCACTTCAACTCCAAATTCACTCTGGCTCAGATCACCTCGACAATTATGCAGAAACACCGGACCAATCTATGGCCGAGCTAACACCTCTTTTGAGGATGAAGATCTATTACACCAGTGATGTACTCAAGCGGGAGATCATGCAAACTACCATTCATATCCCATTGTCCCATTTCATTTCCACTTTCGCGAAACCACTCAATGATCTCTTGGGCTGATCCTTTAGATCTTTATTCTTTGGGACTGATATATTCCACATGAATGAGAGGAGGACTAGGAACTGATTTGGACACGCGCGCGCGATTCTTGCAGCTTTTATGCATGCAATATACTCCCTTAACATCGCCTCAAGCAATTTTACTGTTGACTCCACACCCCTTGGGCTGGGGGCATGATGCAAATTCAACAAGGCCGGGTTCAGCTTGGCTCCGGACCATGCTTTATAAAAATGCGCAATATTTCCACTTCCACCTCCCGTTTTCGTCCTCGCTATCACACCAATTGGCTCCGGCCTTAATCCACCTCAACAAATCAACAATCACATACTGCAACATCTACAAATGCGGCAGCATCCTATGAGTCAGCTTATAATCAGCGACTCCGATGCAAATAGCTATGGAGCGCGACCCGCTTTTCAATGCATGCAGGGGGGGACTAAGATTCCCTTTTGAGGACAAGGATCTTTTGAAGCGAAGACATGTGAGCAAAAACTCATGCAAAACTACCATTCATGTCCCATTTGCCCATTTTACGATCATTTTCGTGCACAATCCAATTCCTTTCCAACAATCACCCTGTGACCAATCCGAACCACCATCACACATGCCCCTTTCCCTAACACCTGAGGGGGAGAATAGTCGCTATGCTTCAATCAGCTGTCATAGAAGGAGGGGAGCTGCCTAACTAAGGGCATTGATAATAAGGAGTGGGTGGTATAATGCGACCAAGAAGGACGCTGAGGGGGAGGTCATCGATTTAAGGGCACAGCAAATGGAGGAATCATAAGGCCATCAAACATTTCTTTATTGGCATAGTCTTTATGACAGCCAACACCTTTGTTGCTCATCGTATTGAATATGGTAATGATTTCTACATTCATTTTTGTCCTATGGACAATTTTCTATCAACCTCTCCTATCAAGTTGTTACTTGATTCCACATTCATTGAATATTTTTGGATCATGACTTGAGGGGGAGTGTTGGAGGAGCAAGTCATAACGGGTGTTGTGCACTTTCCATACTTGTCTCGATGTGTATTTACATGTATTTACACCGACAAATATATCTTCAGAGTCTACTGCCATCCCAACCGAGCCGCCGCACTGAGTGGTGCAACTTTAAGGAGAAGTCCTTCTGGTAAGCAATTGGCAGCCTCACAATCCGGAATGGAGAGACTGATTGATTTGAACTCAAATACGACATGTTGAGCCACCACTGAAGAGTAGCGGCTGCCTCCTTGACTCCGGCAGGTGGCCCATTGTTCCCCATTGGCCAGTGTAAGGAATCAGCGATGAAGATGGTCAATTCCCTAGAGGAGATGACAAATGCGATCCAGTGGTTGTTAATGTGAGTAATTCCACCAAATTGAGAAATGGATCCAGACGAAAGCTCAGAGCCAAATTGGTGGAGAGTTTTGCAGGTACGGTCATGGCGATATCTTTTCAACCCATTCCCATCTGGTTGCATGGCACACCCTGTCAGGTACTGGATGTCAAGAGGGCTGAAAAGTCTAGCCTTTACATCATTGGCATCCAAGGCCCTTTCCAGAAGTTGGATATGGTACGAGATATCGGTGGTCACAAGGCATGAGAAGGTGAGGTGACGGAGCAGTCCCCCAATGGAACTCGATGTTGATTTTGAAAATCCAAGGACTCTAGCATTCCAGCTGCATGATAAGAGCCGCTTTTGGGTGGTGATGACAGCAACATGGTGAGTAGGCTGACAACCCGCCAATGCCTCAACATGCGCCTCTGATTCTTTCCACATTTTTCGGATACTTTGTATCTGAAATAGGACTTCCCAGATTCGTAGAATGTTGATAGGGACATAATGTGTGCCAATTTTAACGGAGCAAGGAGGGTTGGGATCATTGGGATCATAGTTGTAAATTAGACTTTTGATTACTGGGCGGGGAGGGCAGAGCATGCTACGGAGGTCACTCTCTGTCAATTCTCGGGTGGATGGTGGGCAATGACTGAGACATGCAGATATTATCTGTAAATTTCCCTGGAGTGATGGAAGCTTAAATTTGAGAAAGTCGGTGACTGACAGGGTTTCATTTGGGAAATAGGGTCCAATAAGAGTGCTTGGGATACCACTGTACAAGACAAGCTCATCTGTGCAAGAGCAGATATGTCGTGCAAGAGCAAACCCGTCCATGGATGATGACCGGGAGTAAGAATTTTTTTACAAGGGAGTACGGCAAACATGTTTTCAAATTTCCCATTTCCTTTTGAAATAAAATACATTCGGCTAACTCCGGTAAATAGAGTAGAGGCCTGGCCGGTCGGGTGTCACGCATCAAAATGAGCCAGCGGTCCGTCACACATGTATCACGTGCAGGACCCTGGCGGTTGTTGGTCGGTGGAGTACAGTACTCGACGGCGGTTGCATTCCTGATTTGGAGTGTGGCGTCAAATTTGAATAATTAGAGTCACATGCATAAAGAACAGAATTTTGAATCAAAATAAGCGCCCATTCCAATGTCAACAGATGCTATGGCTGCACCAGTGACTTTAAACTCTTCCTCGAAGGGTCGAGTATCGGGGAAAAATTGGAAAGCACCCAAAACAGCCGCAAGGTCCTCTTTTTTGTGTCCCTTTTAACCTCGTTAACTCCCACTCTTAGACGCACTCAGTTAGCAGAATCGTTAAGAACTACCTGGGAGGAAAAAATGCGTAGGAAAACAGAGGCTCAAGCCGTTAAGCAACTGGAGAGGGAAATGAAGGCGGAGAAAGAAGCGGAGAAGGCAGCGTGAGTTGTTGCACTCTACGCATAATCGTCGAACGTTGCTGTAATTTGATTTCCTCGCGCGTCGGCTTGTTACCTCTAGTCATGTGGAGAAGATAAAGGCCAGGAGAAGGGCTAAGGCGGAGAAGGAGAGGTTGGAGAGAATGAGGGCAAAGGTTTGTCGGCAATCGCTTACTTGGTTGAGAGCAATCTCATCCAGGACATTTTTTTAGATGAGCCAAAAGAAGCTAGACAGAAAACGGAGAAAAGAAGGGAGAACGAAGAAAATCAATGGCTGATCAGTGGACTTACACCCCGACATTCGATATTCTTATTCAACTGTACAACTGCACTTTCTCTAATCAAAGTGTTCGCTTAAACCTATCGCCGAAAATTGACTTTTGATTCCAACAAATAATGTCGACAGCATAACGATAGCTAAAGATCCCAAGAACGATCCCGCTCTTCGGGTAGAACAAACGGTTTATCCAGTCCTGCAACGACAGACTCGCATAACGGACAAGCGGCAGCCAACAGCTCATCCAGTTCCTCCTTCAACTTGGTAGCTCTCTCCTGAAGTTGTTGCGTCGTCATACCATTCTTTAATTCCCCTCCGTTCCCACCCCATACGTTAGGAATCCCCAAGTTAATGTTGCTCGCTATCGCACTTGCCAGTGATTCAGGGATAACCAGATCCCGTAATCCTGCGCCAGCAGCAACGAACGCATTCCGCCCTGCCACAGCCGGGGCGACGACAGCGCGATTGAAGTTTGAAGACAATAATCCTCCAGGTCCATTCTCAACCGGTTGGGTGGCACTTGAATGCGATTCCTGGCGCTGATGACCCGGAACTTCAATCATTCCAGGCATGGAGGGTGCCTTTTGGCGGTGACGGGGCTTTTCGATAAGTTTCCCAGTCAGCTTCATCAACTCATCCTGAAGCAGGACGATTCGCCGTAGAGTGGGGGTTGGGAGATACTCCTTGACCTGCACAATGTCAGAGTTTGAGTCAGTGTAACGCCCGCATGATGTGAACGTTCAAGGCGCACCTGTCCGATCAAGCAATTAGCATGGAAGGTATGCTGACATGGAAAGACATAAAATTCTCTCGTCAAGAGTGGCAGCTCGCATGAAGCGCATTTGTCATTCTGTTCGACAGTAAGAAGACGTTTCTTGAGTTCGGCCATGTCTCGTTTGATCGCTTCTGCTGTCTTTGTTGCGTCGTTCATCTCGTTCTTGAGTTCTTCAATGCGAGCACTGTATCCTTCCAAAGCATTGCAAACTTCATCCTTGAAATCATCGATGACGACGAAGTCAGGGAAGAACGGTAATATGTCCTCAACCTTGAGTACATTTGTACTTTCAAGGAATTGCATTGCACTAGTGAGAAACATCTCTAAGCGTTATGTCACAATACAAGTCATACGACGACTTACGACTTAATGTCCTTCTTGTCTTGGACGACGTACTTTGCTGTCATCAGCCACAACTTTTTTTGGAGGATTTCATCACCTTCTGGTTTGTCTGCGTACGTCTTGGCGAGCTCAACATCTCCTATCTGTAGGGCTAACTCGACGCTATCTTCCCACATCTCCATCTGAGCATAGATGTGTACGCAAGCAGAAAGTCGATTGTTGCGCTTGCAAAGGCGCAAGGCATAATCAAGGTCATAGTATGGCCGAGACGTGATGGGGTTCTTGGGTGCCGTGGAGAGAAAGCGGAGCAAAGGACGATCGACCGATGACTCGGAACCGAGTTTCACACCTGGACGGACATCAGGGGTTGTAGTGCCATTAGGAAGCTTGCTAGATGATATTGTTGGAGACGAGGCGGGTTGTGATGACGAATTAGAGGCAAGGAACGTAAGCAGGAGGTTGTGGATCATCGGAGATGTTGACCCTAAATCAAAAATTACACGGTTGAGGTAGTGGACAGCGTAGTTTGGTGACAGAGGGGAAGGTGGAAGGTGCTGGGTTTGCAGCAACGCAGGAATGAGACGATGAGGGTCCAGAGTAGTTCGTCTTAGCCAAGATTCGACTGTCTCCTTAGGGGCATGTCGCATGAGAACTGGAGAGAACCGATAAAATAAATTCAAGTCTGACTGTTAAGAGCAATAATTATGAAATGCACGCAGAGTGTTTGCAAAGACCTTGCCTGTCTGTTGAGCACGTCGACAGCTTTGAGCCACTCCTCGTCCATGACATACGTCTCCACAACCTTTTCATAATCACCGACAGTCATGGCGTAATGGAGGGAAATGTCGGTTCGCCCATGACTTTGTATGAGCTCGTATGTGGTTTTCTTATGCAAACTAGCCTTCAAAAGAATCTCAGGATACAATCAACTAACATCGACAGGCGGGGTCACTAACTTTGTATGTGACCAAGAACTGATGGAGTTCCTCGGTGATTTCATCCCTTTCGGCTTTCAAATTGTCAACATCCTGTGAAGTGCTCTCTGCCGCAACAAGATCGTCGAGGGTATTCAGTTTTCCGAGGTAAAACTCAACCAGCCATGATGCCAGCATGGTCCGTTGTATCAGCATCTGCCGGGTAAACGCATCAACAAACGAAAAACTTAGGCACACACAAGTTACCGACGCTCTTCGGCATGGTTTCAAGCCTTTTGACGAGAAAGTAACGCAGCGCATCGCTTTCTCCAATATCATTGAAGCTGAGCGATACTTCTTCGAACCCACGACTGCTCTGGGCATAGCACTGAGCCGCTTTGATATAGTTTTGCGACTTGAAATATTGGTCACCAAGGGATGCGTTAACAACGGATCGTTGTGACGCGGTCTGACGATGGCATGAGCCATGTTCCGGATTAGACGCTAATGATTCTGGATGCAACAGCTTTCGTACCTTAGCGTATTTCAATGCCTTTTCATGATCCTCGCGCTCAAGATAAATCTTCCAAACATCTCTGTCCTCATCGTTGACAATAACCTCGAACATAGATGAATTGCTGTACACCCAATACGTTTTGCTCTTGGTGTCAGAGGCAAGGTAAAGTGGTTTCTCTGAAGGTTTCTGCGGCGCGTCCCTGAGTGCAAGATCGAGATACATAGTCACCAATACTGACCAGTGCAAGGAACTCTTCATATACAAGCCTCTCCACTCCTCCTAGATTGCTAACAGCACACACACGATCAGGGTATAACAGTAGGAAGTGGTAGTCTGTTATAAGCATCGACAGCGGCATCGGGTTCTGGGACAGTTTTGGTGAGGAAGGGGGCGTAGTGGGTGATGATGGGGCCGAGTAGGGATACGGAAGGAGGGTGGCGGACTCGATAATGTCGGAGGTTGATGGTGCGGAGAGATTTAACATGCCATAGTAGATCCCCTGTCCTGCAAAAAAAAGGTCAGAGATCTCGAATAACGACAAAAATGTGTATACCTGTCATCCAAGCCATCGTGCGAACGCTTCTTGACTTCGGGACTACATGAAGCTCAGAGTGTTGATTATTTCCTTGGAGTTCGAGAAATTCTTCACGCATTACGATAAGCGAGGCTCAGTTCTCACTTAGCGGCATCACTTACTAGGTGCAACGTCCCGATAGGTTGCGAACACTGGGTCATAAAGCTTCCCTATTTCTTCCGGCTTCCTCTCAATTATCCCGATGAACTGATAGATCCGTGTAGCAGATGTAGCGAGCACGACTAGCCGCTTGCTGTCGCCCGATGCTCCGCCAGCACCAGAGGACATATACTCTGCGTGTAATCCTGTTATAGGATGCCGCTCGGTGAAAGTGTAGAGTGGCGACACATATCTATCTGGGGTCTTGAAAATATCTTCTTGTGCGTCTAGGTGCATCTCATAAATGGTGCCATTGCGTCCGCCGAGAAGAATCTCCCGAGCGGAGGTCCGCGGATGCGCAGAGACAGAGGACTTGGATGGGGGGGCAGGATTCCAGGCCACGGACTCTATGACTAGCTTGCACTTTGGAAGCAGTCGTGCCTTCGACCATCCTTCAAACAGATAATAGTTTTCTCCTTGAGCTGTGCCAATTATTACGTGCCGTCCCGTTGGATCACAGAATATTTTTGAGATGCTCAGCTCCGCTGTCCCCCTGCCTTTCTTGACTTCGAGGGTAATGTTACGAATATCCTCCGCCCTGTCGAGGTCGATTTGTTGCAAACTGTTAGTTTTGAACGCCATCGTAATAATTTTTGAAGAAACTGTCATCGAAACTAGTGCACTGGGGAATGTGTGCTGCACAGTCTCGAGAGCGAATATAGGGTATAGATTTTGGGAAGCATAAGCATTCTGGGGCGCCAGCGGACCAGCGCGGTCAGCCAACAAGTTGAATGCCGCTACATATAACTACTTGCCAACCCATAAGCACCACCAGCCTCAAAAGCCAATTCGTCCTGGTCTCCAGCAGGTTCAAAACCCTCGTACTGAAGGTGTGGAAGTGAACGAGCCGG